CAATAGGCCAGACTCATTATGGGTGTCCTAACAGAACATATGCCAATAAGGCATATAGTACACAAGATGGATGGATATCGTTAGGGTAACACATAGGATCTATGAAATGATGGTATAAGGCAGGGGGAAGCACAAAAGATCCGTATGGGTCAACGTGCAACGGCTTAGCTGACCCCATATGCGAAAATACGATAAGATACCTTCGTTCGTATCAAGTCATCACTGTCACTTTTCACAATTCGTTTTTATTTTCAAATATGCAAATATAGGGGGGGGAGGAAAGGGATTGTCAGAAAAGGGGGTTAGTAACCCTATTACTAGCAAGACCCTATCAGGTCGTCCTCCTCACGGTTCCCCCTGGAAACCATCGTGATTGATTCATTAGTGAATTTGTCACGATAGGCTAACTGATCTGCTTCATCTTCACCTATCATCTCTCACTGGTGCCCCGCCAGTGGATACCAATAACGCAGGCAGGGTCACTATTCCGTTATCATCCATTAAAAAAATATGCAAATATAAATTAATAAAGAATGATTATATCGTTTCCTCTTTATTTTTAATATATTTGTTAATATTAATTATCACAATAAAATAGTACATAATATAAAATTAGGCATTTGTAATAATTTCTTCCTCAGTGAAAAGAATTATTTTGATAAATGAAAGACAGTGCGCGAAGATTGGGATTTATTAGTGTCCTTTTGGGCTGAAATATTTAACAAATTTTGTAACAAAAATGGAAAAAGTAATTATTATGATTAATATCCACATTTTTGATTCATAATAAAATAAAGGTACAGAGATTTCGCTGACCTCTAAACGTAGAGATTGTATTTAAATTGTTAAGTGAAATAACACTTCATTATTCTTTCTACTATATTCATAAAATCGTCAAACCTCTTATAAATATATTTTAACATTATACTGATCGAAAGTATCAAAACAGTGTAACAGTTAAAGTGGACTTAAAATAGTTTTTGTTTTTATGAATAAGAGGATTATACTTTAAACAGTATTAAGAAATCCAACCAATATTATAAATGTACAAGTTGGTAAAAATTAAAGTGTCATATCCCGCATTACCGTAGTCCAGCAATTTCCTGCATGTGAATAAGACCTACGAAATTCCCGCATTTGTGTAGTATATCACGCGCGAATATTTTTTAAACAATTCAATAGCATGTGGTATATGTTGTCCTTTTAATATCATAAGTGCAAGGACTACTGGATGAATTTAAATTAAATCTAGTACACGGGTGGACTGTACTATAACTTGGCACGTTAGATAATTTATATACTTGTTAATGCTTGTTGTAATAAAAATAATTAAAATAGTATGTAATTGATGTGCTGATCTTTGTTAAAACATTTTGAAGAGGAATAAAGCATTGTAGACAGTTAAATTAGCTAGCTGACTCGGTGTGCATATTTTTTCTCCCTGTTAGCTTTTATCTATAAAATTAGCGCATACTGGAGATCGTCATATGAACGATGAGTATCAGCAAAGAGCTGAAAATTATTATTTCTTCTTCGAATCACGATATATCGCGTAGCTGTACGGTCGCAAATCTATGTATATTCTATCCAGCTGGTGTTTTATCTTGATTGAAGATAATTATTTCTTATGCTCCGAAAGATGTCATTTGGAAACATGAATTGAATGTGCGAATTGACTTTAGGAACAGGATAGAAACTGGATCCGTACTAATAAGTCGTGCAATGGTTCAGGTGGTGTTTCCGTTAGTTGTTCTTTCCTGATGAGCAAAACATCCCGACTGGCTCATTTTTAAATTTTAGTGCATGTGGGCATGCCTTGTCAAAAGTACCAATGACTACTTAATAGCAACTTAAAAATAATAATAAATTCACTATGAGAATAAATATGAGAGTTGCACTGAAACATGGGTTGATCGTAAAAGCGTGAAAATTTAAATTTATATGTATTTTTCAATTTTTTTCCATAATAAAATATAAAATAAAAAAATAAGTCAAAAAAATAAAAAAATATATTTAGGGTGGGTCACCCTTATCATTGTGGGGTATGAAAATAGATGTTGGCCGATTCTCAGACCTACCCGATATGCACACAAAATTTCATAAAAATCGGTAAAGCCGTTTCGGAGGAGTTTGATAACAAACACCGCGACACGAGAATTTTATATATTAGACTAGCTGACTCGGCAAACGTTGTTTTACCATACATTATTTCAAGAACTATACATGAAAATTTATCCTACTAAAATTATTATATTTGATTGCCATCTTGCAACCCTGATGCGGTATATAAAATCGCGATTAAATAACAGGGGTTGATCGTAAAAGCGTGAAATTTTGAATTTGTATGTATTTTTCAATGCTAAATCATAATAAAATAAAAATAAAAAAATTTCAAAAAATAAAAAATAATATTTAGAGGCAGGTCACCCTTATCATTGTAGGGTGTGAAAAATAGATGTTGGCTGATTCTCAGGCCTACCCGATATGCGCACAAAATTTCATAAAAATTGGTAAGGCCGTTTCGGAGGAGTTTGGTAAACAACACCGCGACACGAAAATTTTATATATATATATAAGGTATGTTGCATATATAAATATATTTTTAACCTATTATTTATCAGAGATTTTTAAAAAATTATACTTATTCGTATATATTTTTTAGTTTTTAGAAAAATTCACACTATTATAGAATATTATGTAAAAGTACATTAAAAGATAGTATTATATGATAGTAAAAATTACTTTTAATAGAATATATATATATATATATATATATATATATATATATATCACAATAAAGGTGTGCGTATAATTTGAAATGGTTCAAGTAAAATATTTGTAAACAACAAACATACAAGCTCAGATAATTATAAAATACTCATAACCTATATTATTTCTTCTACGCTTAGAGCTTGAGACGGCTAAGTTTAATTAGATCCCTTGAATTAAAATAGGTTATCATAAAAGTTGAAAGTATACAGCTATAAATAATATTTGATACAATAGGGTCTCGTGTTACATCGTACAGATAAAAAGTTATATTTATTTCAAGAATTATTTTTACCCTTCGGTTGACTGCGCTTGCGGCGGTGTCAACTGATATGTTACTGTGATTACACCTTATTAGGTGGTCTGATAGCATAATTTAATATACTAAAATACCTACTTTAGGTTTTATTGTGACAATTAGGTAATTAAAGCGTAATGTTTATTTTTAATTAACTTCATCCTCTCTTTATCTCTCTATTCTAGATGATTAAATCGTGATTAATAGTGGTAGCCCATGTTATCGCTTTTCAAGCGGCTTAAAGACTACGAAACGAAATGCTAAGTTATCTTAATGTAATTATGCGGTGATTCATAAGAAGGCTTGAATGTTTTCTTATAATTAATATGAACGAAATTTACGACACGAGTCCATTTTCGGTGGTTTATAATTATTTTTTTTAATGATAAAAACAATCTCTAATAGGTACATAACAATTTTATAGATATAATAGGTTTAAAGATCGTTTTCTTGAATGGATACATTTAGTTATATAAGTTCGTCGTTATTTTACAGTGGATAATAAATAGATAGATAAATTCATTATTTGCATCAATTGTACCACACGCAAATATTATATGATTATGCACATATAAGTGATGTAAAAAAAACATAACAACATAACATTAAAACATATATAGTTAAAAATTTCAAAACAAACTGAAAAATCTAATTGTTCAATTTATGTGCTACAACGGTACAAGTGAGCCAAGTATAGCTTAACGAATGCTTTGCTTAAATGCAAGATTTCGGTTTTCAGCTACAGCCTGAATCTACTGTTAATGCTTTAGAACCTTAGCGAGTTTAGTAGGTCGCTTTATAGTGTCTACTAATGAACTTGTTTATATTAAATTTGTTCCTTATACAGAAAAATTGGGGATAGGCATTGACATTGGCGACCCCTTACGGGCAAACGCAACGCGGAGTCGTCCTACACCTCCTACTAGATGAAATGATGACCTCAAATTCATTGCAGGGAGTCAGTGGATACAGGTGGCTCAGGACCGTTCCTTATGGCAGTCTAAGGGTGGATCTGTGTTCAGCAGATAACAAATGATGCATGAGATCATAAGCTTCCGATTTCATTTTATATTTATTTATTACTTAGTTTGCGGTATCTAAGTAGATATTTGATTTACTTTGATTTTTCTTACTCAATTATGATTATTTTGCAGAAATCTATTTCACTGGTTAGTTGATTAGAATTATTATTTTTTCAATTCTGCTACCATTATAATGCGTATTAATAATAATAATAGTTAATCCTTAAATATTGGCAGTCGCACGCATACTAATAATAGCGGAATTATAGAAAATAATTTTAATCAACTAACCAGTTGCCTCGACTTTACTTCGTTATAGATGTATGACGAAAATTCTGCGAGAAGGTGCTAAAAACTGTCTTGAGCTGAAGGAAATAATTATTAAAGTCGTACTTATAACATACAGCGTTACTAATATTATAAATGTAAAAACGAGTTCGTTTGCTTATTTATTACCTTTTGATGTCTGAACAGTTCAATTAATCATGAAATTTGATATACACATATTATATGTAAAGGAGATGGACATAGTCTACTATTTTTCCCGGTCAATGAACATATCCCGGACATACGGGCGAAGTTGGTGGCAAAAGCTATAAATTAATATAATATTTACGTTTGACATGTATTTTGTTACGAGTTAAGATGGGCTTGGTTGTTAATTTGTATATCTATAATGTACTGTACTTTGGTACTTTTAGAAAAAAAGAAAACACGAAACGCTATTTCGTCATAATCTAAATTTTGGGACACTTTTTAATTTTGTTAGCTTTTCTTCATCTGCTGTTTATAGATATAAAATTTGTATGCATATTTTATAAAAAAAATTAAGAGATTTAAAGAAAATAATAGGTATTTTATGTTATATTTGCTGTACACGCTTAGTAACAATATTTTGTTTAATTTTTCAGTGAACTAAAAGAAAGCGTTTTCACGAAGTTGGACTTAGTGGATTACTTCAGTTTAGCTGATAATTCTCTCACAGAGATGCCGCGACACGTACTTCGTCATCTACCTCACGTAAAAACTCTGGATCTCTGTAGAAATAAAATAACCAAACTTACAGTTGAAGACTTTAGAGTAAGTTTATATTTAATCCGAATTCTTATTATTAAATAATAAAATTGACCATATATTGTTGCCTTTCACTATATCTCAGTAGTGAAACTAGTACCATCTTGTTTTATATTGATGTCCAATTGAGACATAAACGTACTAATATCTTAAGTGTTTCAGTAAAACACTATTATTTCTTATAGATATTTTACATTGTACTGTTATGTTTTTTTCACATTTATATGTAGAAATATAAATAAATATAAAATAATAATAAAAAAGAAATGTTATACTGTTGGGAAATTTGGTTCGATGGTTCCTTTTCTTAAAACATTATCTCATTAACTATTTTCAGGATATACAAGAAGTAGAACATTTGGTAGTAGCTGGTAATGAAATATCTAAAATTGAACGAGAGGCTGTGCCCAAGGCGTTAAGACATGTTCATTTTGGTATCAATAAATTGAATACATTGAACGGCGCTCTGAGAGATTTGGACGATTTAGAGTGGATTTTCATTAATGCGAATAATCTTAAGTCTATTGACAACGAACTACCTGTAGTAAGTACCAATAAATAACATTGTAGAGTTTTTTTTTTCAATAGGAAATTACCATTAAGCTGCACCAATTTTTGTTTTTAAATTTCATTTTCCTTTCTTCTATATTATACGTTATTTTGTGTTTATAATCCTTCTATGCAATTTTACTTATAGGTAAAATATAATGTGATGATAAAATTATCTTTTTTTTTACAGAAAGCTAAAAAGATTGTTCTCATTCATGCTGCCCACAACGAATTGCAAAATTTACCGAAAGACTTGAAGCAAATGCCTTCTTTGGAATCTCTTTATTTCTATGATAACAATATCAAATCGTTAGATGGAGCTTTACAAAAGTCCAGGAGACTGTTAAGGATTAGTCTTTCTTTTAACAAGATTGAAAGTGTAAGTTTATTCTGACTTTTATGATCATTAACATATTTATATACTATACTAATGTATTCTTGAAGGGAAAAGTAAAGTCAGTTTTTAACTACAGTATTCAACTGTCTTGCAAAAGAAGAATTATCTCAATTTGACTTAATGTCTTCATCAATTTTGAATAGGTTTTGAAAGAGTTTCCTCCCGTGCTGGTATAATCAATTGTTAAAACGCAGAGACATGATTCAATCCTTAGTCTTCGCAAGATTGTGCTCTGAGAGATTCCACAAAGAAGATCTTGAAAATGTAACGTATATCTATCTATGACTATTCAGCGAGCATAAAAAGAAAATAATATCCAAACGCGGAAAAATATCTACATTATATTTAATAAACGATATTAAAAGTAGATATGTACTAAAAGATTATATAATAGTAGAAAAAGCTAGTATGTAGTTATCTCTTAAGATACACTATAGTATATTAACTATTAGGACCTTATATAGTATAATGACTATACCATATAAGATTCTAATAAATATTATTGCACAGGGAAACACGTAGATATTTAAAACGAAATAAGAAAAAATGGATTAGGGAAAAATTTCTTTCATCATAATTCGTAGATATTTAATATTAATGTTACATTAAAAACTACTTTTAAATACTCAGTTTATTAATTTTAATTACAGTTAGCCGAAGATGAATTTGCAGAAGCAGAAAAATTAGCAGATCTGGATATCGCGTACAATCATTTGAAGATTTTAAATGGGTCTCTTAGAAACTTAAAATCTTTAAGATATCTGAATTTAACGCATAATTATTTAACAGAATTTTCACTGCAAGAAATTAAAGGTTTGAAAAGATTGTCGGTAATCGATTTGTCCCATAACAAAATAAGTCATATTACAGGAAATATGGAGGTAAGACTTAATTATAATTATTATAATTATAAAAATCATATTTAAGCGATACTTATTTTATTTATAATAAAGTAACATATATTTATTTTTTAAAGAATCTTGTGGATGTTGAAACACGTGTATTGGAATTACGTTTGGATCACAATTACTTGATGAATTTAGGAGGAGCTCTGATGGGACTTCACGGGCTCCTCAGATTAAACCTGAGTAACAATCAACTGCAAGAAATCTGTCCCGATGATTTGATTGGTTTGGAAGACTTAAAACTACTTGATGTATCTCATAATCAAATCACATCTTTAGAAGAAACTTCTAAGGTTTGTTCATATGTTGCCGAATCCGAATGATTTTATTTATTGTAATTTTTTGCTACCTTATTTATATTTATTATTAGCTCAGCGAATTTTCGTATATTTAATGCTATAGCGAGATGTAATACGTTAATACTAAAATTATATTATCTCAACCGTTAGTATAAATGTGTTAATGTTTTCAGACATTTTTACCATCTCTTGAGGAATTAATAGCACATCACAACAACATTACTATATTACATAAAGATTTCCATGGACTGCCATCGTTGTGTTTAGCTGATTTATCTTACAATCAAATTCAGTCTGTTAATTACGACCTCGTTTCAAAGTCTCGATGTGTTATAAATGGAGTTCCAAGTATATTGAAAATATATCTTCAAGGTAATAATTATAATTAATCTCTTTCGAATATTTACTTTACACATACTGGGATTGATTATGAAATATCATTCTCTAAAATAATAAAATTTTAAGAAAGAGAATGACGATTCATGATCTAACCCCATTGTTATTATTTAATTGTGTCTATAGCATCCTCCCAAATAGATGAACTAAGTTTGGTGCAATCTTTACTTTTGATAGAAATTTATTGTGTCGGTAGTTTTTTTAAGTTCACTTATAAGCTAATCCGTTTTAAGTTCTTTTTTAATATCATGCCGACAAAAATTAATCTTATGTATATATCAATAACCTTAATAATAATTCAATTAATATAGATATGTATAGACAAATTCTGAGAAATACGGTTTGTGTGATATTTCTAGGATTAATAATAAATTCAAATGTGATATGGAAAGACCAAGGAGAAAAATGTTTTATTCTAAAATAAAAATATTTCCTTTTGTCTTCTACAAACTAAATAGCCAATAAATATTGCCATTGCAGCATATTGTTCGTATGTTGAATCTATGATTAGATTACTGCTCTCAGAAAATGGCGTTGTTTTTGGGAATATTTATGTTGCGCAAAAAAGCTGCATTATTGATTATTTCTTACATCGACCTTACCTCAAATCACTAAGCTAAACACAAAAAAGCGCAAGATATTCTCTAAAACTCGTTATTAATATTATTACTGAAATGAGCTTTTTATTAAAAAAATCATACATGATGTATATAAAAATCTTTAGTAAAATACCTAAGGATATAAAAGAAATATCAAAAAAAAAATTAATTACATTTCGTAAATGGTTAGATGACAAAACTTTTTATTCGGTAGATGAATTTTTTAAGGAAGATTGATAAATATTGTATTTAGTATTATTATAATTGCCGATGAATGAATTAATTAGTTTAGACCAAAATGTGACATTTCTATTTATGCTATTCTGTAAATGGCTAATTAGGCTTAAGAAACATTATTTAACATTAGACTATCTATACCTATCCTATTTAAAGCAATTAAAATATATTATTATTATTATATACATACATAAGATTTGTGTTTGTCTATATTTGATAATTTTCTGACTATTTATACAAAAACACCATTGCAAAGCGAATCTTTTTCATTTATAGCGGTCGCGAAAAGTCTTAGGTACTATTTCTTTAGAGATAACACTTAGCTAGGGTATATCTTCTTCTTTTTTACTATTTATAAAATACTACTATTTTCTGTAAAGATATAATTGTTTTATTTATACTGCAGTGCTTAATTTATTTACATTAATTCAGATATTGTTGATTTTCTAAATTCAAAGTATTTATACATATTAATGTACACTTGATCTCACAGGATATTTCATTACAGATAATCCTGTTCTATGCAACGAACATTTATATGAACTTATCAAAGTTTTGGACAACTTGAACGCACGTATAAGTGGAGTATCAACATGTGTGACAGCAGAAACAGTCGCACCTGTTTTAAACATGCGAGCATTGAATGATATCGAAATACCGCAGAAAGAGAATCCGCCTTTAATAGTGGTGGCACACGTTGGTACTGGGATACGAGTATTACCGCATGAAGGAGCGGACCGTGAGTTAATCCCGCCAGTGCCACAACTCCAGTATCGCCGTGTCGGGGCTCTTGTCGGCCACATTCTGCCTGAACGTGAAGGCGGTTTACCTGTGCTTGTTGAGCCACCCGTCACGCTGCCATCAGCGGGTTCCAACGTTGTGGTAAAATGGCCAGACGATCGAACAGCCGACGAGCAAGCGCACCCGCTTACCGATCATTTACGTCTGCGAGATTTAAATGCGTCCCCGCAGTGAAGTTTTAAGTATCAGGCGTCACATAATGCTGACGCCATCGAACTGAGTGTTTCGTCTTAGGAAATATAACTGCCTCTAATCTAGACTAAGGCAGAGTGTCTTCTGATTCGGTCGGGTGCATGGATTTTCCCTCACAATATCTTCCTATTGATTTAGGTTCTCGATGTAAATAAGAGCTCTACTTAACACATTCAGTATGCATCCAAGATTGATAACCCTGTTCGTGAAACATCGAGCAATTGTTTGTGCGTCTATTAGGCACAATGTGCTATATCAGTTATAAAATATTAAGATGCGGAGTATCTAGGAGCTTTATCAGTGTTATCATAAGTTTGAATGAATGTGTGACCGGCGATAAATCTAAACGTTTAACGTTAATCAAAATTATTATGGAAACTTTTACACCACATTTTGTTAATAATTTAATTATTACCTATGTTTGTACATGAAAAAATCTTACACAAACCAAATACTATTTAGTATAGTTAATGTTTTATTAGAATAATTTATATTGTCGAATAACATTACTAATATAATATAAATCGATGTATGTATAAATAGATTTAATATGTTATATAAAATAAATGATTATAAGATTAATAAACAATTAACTTGGTATATTATTTTTTGTACCTACGGTGCTCACTCCACTTTTTTCTAATATCATCATTATTACAACTATTCGACACAGCCGTACTGTTGGGTATAAAACCATTTAGGATATTAGTCTCTTGTTACTATGTTGCAAACAAAACTGTTTCATGCAGAAACACGAATGAAGCGGAGGTATCCAAACAGACGACTTTTATAAAAAGTCTCTTGATACTGGTTACTTTGCAATTTCACTGCCATATCTAATCCAATCTACTGAAATAGTTACGCTAGTACAGCTGCTTGGGAATGCCAGAAATACGTTCAGGAAAAAAGTATTTATTTACTCATGCAGACAAGTTTTATATAGTCACCATTTGGTGATATTCTCGTAGCATCTTGTCGCCATAAATGTTAAAAAACTGGTAAAGTGTGAGTTGCACTCACACGCCGACTTACACTCCATACGATATGAGGTAAAATAATCTTATATACAAAAGTTTATCTAATTATTATTATTACAGTAATTGTAATTCGGAATTTATTTTTTTGATCCATAAAGGGTCTCGCCGTGTTTCCATATGAAATCTGCACTAGCGTCTTTGTTAACCTTTGTTAGCCTTTAATTAATTTATTTATTTAATTATTATGGTGTGATATATGACTAATGAAATGTTACGCTCCATTTACTGAACCAATTTCGAACCAGCATTCGGCATTTCATTTCATGGTAGACCTTCAAGTCAGTTGGCCCCCATGATGAAATTAACAATAATTAACTACAATGGTTTTCAGGAGGAACCGCGTGAAGGTCTATCTCATAAGGTATATTGGTATTATACCAATGGGGCTATTATATCCCATTACTAACAATCCCTTTCATAAAAAAAGTATTAGTCTAATACTACCAATAGGGGTATCGGTAGTATTAGACTAATACTACTTTTTTTTTATGCAACTTAGCATGTTATCAATGGTAAACGAGCTAACGGCCTACGTGATGGAAAATGATAACCGTCGCCTATAGACATGAGCAGTACCATAGACATAACAGACTGTTTCGCCCAAGATACCCCACATGTGTTGTCATTCTTTAGGACTCAATTACCATCATTCCTCTGTACCCTGTAAATTTCTGTTTAACGGTAGAAACACGAAGGGTACAGAATTATCCAAGCAAACGACTTTATACAAAGTAAAAAAAAAAAAATTATACAACCTACTTAAATTGTCGATAATATTACATATTGGGCACATGCTTAATAAGCTTTCACACCTGAATAGTTTTAAATGAAATTAGGTACATAAGTATATATGGGTTTATATAGGTACTAATTTGCTTTTATTCGCGACTTCATCCGTGTGTTTGTGATATGTTCAGTGGCCACGACACAAAGTAGTCTATATCCTTTTCTATTCAATATAGCACGTACACATCAAATTTCAAAGAAATTCATTAAGTCGTTAAGAGGTAGTAAACAAACTCACTTTCACATTTATAACATAAATAAGGAAATAAACAAACAAACTCACCTTCATATTTATAACATAAGTAAGGATTTAAATAAGACAAGGCGCAGGAAACAGCTAGTCTTTTCCTGCGCCTTTTCTCTTCCATTAATATTGGTGAAAACTATGAATATTGTATTTGTTTACCTCAAATATGGTATAACAGTTACCTACCTAATTTTAGGCAAATATTACAATCCTTGCAACACTAAGATAAATTTGAATTGAACACAGAATTTGAATAAAGTTTTCTTTAAAGATATTGAACAAAAATTTGGAAAAAGCGCGGGAAACGTTTAAAAAAGCGGGAGTGTTTTTTGATCTTCTTTAAATTAATTTTATTTTTATTTATATAAGGATTAGTCTTTTTTATATATTGTGTATTAGATTGTATATTTAATTGTATATTTTGTAGTAATAGTGTTTGTTGCTGTAAATATTGGTAAGTAAATTACCTATATTAACATTATGGATCCACCTATAGACCCTGGGGGGACAACCCCCAGGTGTCTGCAAATATAACTATTCCATTCAATAATAGTTTTGATATATTGGGTGAATCTAGTATGGACACAGATGGTTCTAGCGTTGCAAGTTCTAAACGTAAGCGAGTACGTGGTGAACGTCGCATTTGCAAACATTGCAATAAAAAACGAAGGAGGCACACCAAGGGTCTTGAATCTAAAATTAAAGATAGTGATTGTCAATGTATTGAAGATGAGAATCAAACTCAAGTATCAATCCCAGTTGTAAACAATACCGAGTCTGTTAAACCTGCTTCTCCACCCAGTACTTTAAGCAGAACTTTGTACAATGCCGAGGATATAGCACCTTATGTCGTTCATGTACAAAAAAATGAAACACATCCTAATGATAACACTACATTACATCCTATTGCATTTGGTCGCTTTTTACACACTAATAAGATAAATAATATAGTGAATGGTAGCCTCAAAAGAATAGGAAGAAACCGTTTATCGCTTTCTTTCTCAAATTTTGAAAATGCAAATGCATTTTTAAATAATAGTAACTTAGAAACACATAATTTTAAGGCATTTATACCTTCTTTCCATGTAACCCGTATGGGAATTGTGAGGGGTATTCCTAAAGATTGGACAGAAGAGGAAGTAATCCAAAATATATCAGTACCGATAGGTTGTGGGAAAATTCTAAAAACCAGAAGAATAAAGAAAAAGACAATTAATGAAGGACAACCAAGTTTTATTAATACTGAAACCATTGTTATTACTTTTGATGGACAAATATTGCCAAAAAGAGTATTTATGTTTTACACATCATTAACTGTAGATTTGTACATTTACCCTACTATCCAATGCTATAACTGCTGTAGGTTCGGACATGTCAAGATGCAGTGTCGTTCAAATCCTCGGTGTTATAAATGCAGGCAAAATCATACAGGTGATAAATGTGAAGTAGATGAGGAAAATGTTTCTTGTATCTTGTGTAATGGTTCTCATTCAGCAATTAGTAAAAAATGTCCTGAATATGCACGTCAGAAAGCCATTAAAGAAACAATGGCCCATAGTTGTGTTTCTTATGCTGAAGCATCAAAATTTCATCCTCCAACTTCTAAACTATATTCAGATGTATTAACATCATCATCTCCTTCCAATAAATCTCATTTTCAATCTTCTTTCCTTAAAGAGAAATCATCATTACCACATATACAATCATCATATAAAAAAACAGTTACACTTAAACCACGCTCTCCTCAAAAAATACAACAAGGATATGATCGTTCTGCCCATGAAGCCATAGTTAAGGAATATAATATTCCTGCTCCCTCTAATGGTTGTGCATTATCATCAAATAATATTGACAATAATCAATCCATCATTGATATTATTCTCATGCTTATTAAAGTGTTATCGCAATCAAAAATGATACAAACAACTTTACCACCGTCCAACGATGCCATGTACAATGTATTGTCTCAATTGTTAACTTCTCGCAATGGATTACAAAGTCCAAATAATTCAGTGGAACTGTCGTAGCATAACAAATAAGAAATCAGACTTATTTTATTTGATTAATAAATATAATCCTTTTATAATAGCTCTACAAGAGACTTGGTTAAAGCCAGGATATCCTTTTAGGATTTCAGGCTTTACAAGTCTCCGTGATGATAGAGCTGACGGATATGGCGGTGTTGCCATATTGGTCAAAAACTCCCTTCTTTTTTCTTCTTTTTCGCTTCCTGTATATAGCGGCATTAATGCAGCTGCTATAATTATAAATGGTATCTGTTTTGTTACTTTATATATTCCTGATCCTACATGCCAAATATATTCACAACTAGAACAATTATTTTCAATTTTACCTAAACCTTTTCTCGTAATGGGCGATTTTAATGCTCAGCACCAATCGTGGGGCAGTTCTACTTCTAATTTTTATGGTGGAAAACTCCTGACGATAATTGACACTTACAACTTATGTATTGTTAACTCAGATGTACCGACACGTAGAACTGCACCGAATGAAGGGTTTAGTGCTCCTGATATTTCAATATGTTCTTCTGATTTAGCTTCTTCACTGTCGTGGTATCCTCATTCCTCTACCTTCGGAAGCGATCACTTTCCCCTCATTCTTTCTTTTCCAATTTCCATTCCCTCAAGTCGAAAGAGTAGTCCTCGACTTAAATATAATTTATCAAATGTAGACTGGAATATTTACAAACAATATTTAGATAATAAAATATCGGAGTTACCTATTGTTTATCATGGAAATGAACATCAATGTTGTAATGACTTGATAATTAATATGAAGGAGGTTGCTGATTTATTATTTCCTGTTAAAAATAGTGCTTCAGGGAAAATTCCCTCCCCACCTTGGTGGGACAAAGATTGTACGGAAGCAATTAAAAATCGTAAAGAGGCTGAAAAAAATTATAATAATTACATGACATCAGAAAATTTTGAAATTTACACCGCAGTTTCACGTTCTACTCGAAAACTACTGAAAAAAAAGAAATTGGAAGGTTGGAGAAGATTTTGTTCTTCTATCTGTCCAGAAGTTAATTCATCAGTCGTTTGGAATAATATTAAAAGATTCAGATCTGCCTTTAGTGATCATACATCACGTTCTGCACTCGATTTAACTTTAGCGAATAAATTTTTAGATCGCCTTGCTCCTAGTTATGTGCCGGAATGCCTTTACAATATTTCTCTATCCGTCTCTGACGAATTATCCGAACTTGAGTCTCCTTTTACTCTTGTAGAACTTAAAGGTGTTCTAGCTTGTATTAAAGACTCTGCACCGGGAGAAGACGGTATACCGTATTCCTTTTTTAAAAATGCTAGCGATGCGACATTAATTTACTTTTTAAATATAATTAATTCCATAATTATTTCGGGAAATATACCTACTTCATGGAAGTCTCAGATTATTATACCATTTCTAAAGCCTCATAAACCACCTTCTGAACCATCTTCATACCGTCCTGTTGCACTTTCCTCTGTCTTACTAAAGCTAGCTGAACATTTAGTGAAGAACCGTCTAGAATGGTTTTTAGAAAGTAATAACTTACTATCCCCGAACCAGTTTGGTTTTAGGAAAGGTAAGAGCACCTTAGATAATGTGAGCATTCTTATTTCAGATATTCATATAGCTTTCTCACAAAATTTGTCAATCCTCTCAGCCTTTTTAGATATAAATTCTGCCTATGATAATGTAATAATTTCTATTTTAAAAACTAAATTACAAGCTTTAAATGTACCGGTAATGCTTTCTAATTTCATTATTAATATTTTATCAGAAAGAACAATACATATGGATCTAGATGAAGATACCAAATTATCTAGAACAGTATGGAAAGGCCTTCCACAAGGATCTGTTCTCAGTCCAATTTTATTCAACATATACACATACGATCTAGAATCATTCCTTGATAAATCCGTCAAAATTTTACAATATGCTGATGATCTTTTATTATATTTTATTGCGAAGTCCATAGAATCTGCTTCTGCCAAATTATCTGATTCATTAGATTTGTTAAAAACGTGGTTAGATGCAAATGGTCTTAATCTTTCTGTAACCAAGAGTAGTGTAGTTTTGTTTTCAAGAATGAGATCACCGCAACAAATTAAGGTTCTTTATGATAACTCATACATTCCTATAAAGACTGAAATTAAATTTTTAGGTATCGTGCTAGATAATAAATTAACAGGTCTGTCCCACTGTAATTATATTTCCACGAAATGTGAGCGTAACCTCAACATTCTTAGGTGCCTTGCTGGAGTTTGGTGGGGAGCACATCCCGTTTCACTAAAACTTGCTTATAATGGTCTTATAAGGAGTGTCATTGATTATGGAACTTTTTTGTTAGCTCCAAGAAGTTCATTTGCTTTTAAGAAATTGGATTTAATTCAATCAAAGGCCTTGAGGATTATCTCTGGAGCAATGAAATCAAGTCCAATCAATGCTTTACAGCTCGAAGTCGGTGATCCACCTTTGGTTTTAAGAAGGCAATATTTATCTGATCGCTTCTTTTTTCGTTGTTTACAATTATCTGATCATCCGCTTATTCAAAAGTTATCTCAACTATATATCTTTATTTCGTCTTCATCTTATTGGAAACATAAAAAACCTCCATGTTTAATACAAAGTTATGAAAAATATAAATCCATAGAATCTCCCACTTTTACATCGTCCTGTTTTCCCATTTATAAATGCTCATATCAATCTTTAGTTTTATCTCCTAATATTAAATATGATTTTGGGTTATCAAAAAATGATTCAGAATTGAATGCCAAATTTATGTTTATAACTGACATTGAATGGAATGAATGGCACTACATCTTTACAGATGCATCAAAACCAGACAATAGCGGTTGTGTAGGTGTGGGTGTGTTTCATTCACAATTTAATATCGTTCAAAAAATTAAACTTCCATCGGAATCTTCAGTTTTTACCGGGGAATGTTATGGTATTTTAAAAGCTGTAGAATATATACTTTTAATGAAATTACATAAGGCAATAGTTTTCACTGACTCTATGAGCTCTTTGCAAGCTCTAGCCAAATATCCGTTTAAATCAAAACCAGTTTATCCCATTATTTGTGACATAAGACAAAGTCTTTATCTTTGCATGTTGAGAGGGTATTCCGTTTCTTTTGCCTGGTTACCAGGACACAGTGGTATTAGCGGCAATGACAAAGCTGACCTTATGGCAAATCTAAACCTAAATAATGTGTTTAACTTCATACAGTTATGGAACTATTGTCGCTGGACAAGAAATATAATATGGATAAATGTTTGTCTTACAATCTGCCTAATAAAAATGCTTAATAATAGTTAATAATGAGCGTCCTCTCGACAGCTTTCTATCTTTCCCACATTCAGTGGTAACATTTAATTCATGGTGGTATCTTATATTAAAAAAGAATCGCAGAAGGTAGTTAAAAATATAAATTATGTATATATAAATTATTAATTCATTTTTATGCCACCTAACCACTTCTATGTGTTGTCCTTTTATCATTAGCGATGGATAGCTATACCAATACCCAGCTGTATAGCGGTTATGCAAATAGCCGTGGCTAGATTATCTGTCGCCGACATAGGCAGCTATTAGTTATAGTCGATTAACCGTCAACTGGTAACAACTATGTTTACCCGTCGGCTGCGGCAGCTACGGTAGCTGTCGCAGCTGGCAGTAACGATAGCGTATGCTAGCTGATAACTTATTGGTTGAATAGCTACCCGGCTGCATTGCGTTGGGTTCGATCTTCATCACAGTATCAAATAAATTAGATAATCCATTATGCGATGTTGTCTTTTTTTATTTATTTATTTGTTTTTTCTTGCAAAGAACTATATTATAATTATTACTACGAGTATATTCATTAATAAAAAAATAATATTATCAAAATACATTTTATCAGTAAGATTTAGCGACGTCTATGATTTATGAACGTAAACTTAGAGATGGTCTGTTCGATTATGGTTGATATAGGTAAAGCTTCTTAACTCAATACATAAGTGGCACCATTATGAACAAAATTAAAAGAATTTTCTAATGGATATACCTAACATAAAATTGACTACATAGTAGTTTGTTGAATAACAAAATAAAGAAATGAAAAAAACCCAATCACTTTATCTAACATAATATTGTTGTGTTGAGAATCGACCCTTATGTGGTGCGGCTGGGCAGTTGTTCAGCTAAATAGCTAACGCTAAGTACTTTGCTATTGGGTCGATTATAAGGAGTCTTTCCTATAATAGTTAATAGCCAAATAGCTGGCTATTTAGCCAGCTTCTACATAATAAATAGCCGGATAGTTAGATTATTAAACTTACTTACCCATCGCCATTTATCATTTTGTTGTAAAAGATTGCCACAGCAATAAAACTGCCTTTTGTATCGTTATGTAAATATTTTAATCTGTACTTTATGCAACTGTATTTCACTCGAATTTTCTAATTGTCATTGTATATTTTTATGTTTTTAGTGCAATAAAGAGTTAAATAAATAAATAATTCTCTATGTAACTGCTTTGCATAAAATGTTTCCGAACGTCGAAATCTGTGTATTATTTGTATTGGTTTCCGAACGTAAATATCTACAAGCAAACACTCAACACACACATATACAAACGTACATCAATATACCTACAGTACAGTGTTATAAAAAAATCATCTCTTGTTGCGTTGTGCGAAATCCTGATTTCCGTACTTTTATTGTACTTTGCGAGTTATTTATTTTCTCTTGTACTGGAGAACCTACTGTAAGTTATTTCTGTGCAATAAAGAATAATTGGTAAGAATATTTTGAAGGTAGTGTAATAGTGAGTGAAATAGGTAGGTACTTCCTATAGAAATGGTGTTGTCACTGAGAGCCTTTCTATTTTCTATATCTTGAATATTTAGTAAAATTACTGTGCAGCCCAGAATGTCGTCCAATAAAGAAGTTTTCTCTTTGTACGATAGCAGTCCTGATTCCTTATTCGACATATGTATGGCTTACATAGTAGATAATCTGAATACTATTACGAAATTAGATCCTACTAGTCGATTGCGCAAACTCAAAGACGATGTCATATTACCAGCTGAAATTTGTGAAAAATTTCTATCAGCTTACCAAAAAAACAGCCGTGTTAGTGACAATATTGCCAATTTGTTTCGTGACCGCCAACGTACAAGGTTGGGCACTGTCAAACTGCGCAACTCTCGCATCACAGATGAAGGTCTACGAAGTTTTATGGAGCACAAGCCTTATGAGGTGGAATTAGTGCAATGTGAGTATCTCTTGCCAGCTTCCTTAGATATAATAAATGCCAACAGCCAAAATCTAGTGTCACTGAAAGTTGGGCCACTCACAAATGTATTATCACAAAATGAAAGCCTATTTAGACAGAGAGGCTACATAATAAATGCGCCAAAACTTAGAAGACTTACTATTCAACGTCGAGGGCTTGCAATAGTTCCATTACTCCTCCTCAAAACTTTAACTCATTTGACACATTTGGATTTATCTGAATGTAGTTCAAATAATTCCATACTGGCAATAAATGAACTCAAAAATTTAAAATCACTAATATTGCATAGTGTGCACTGGTCAAAAGATGTAATAGATTGGATAGCCACATTGCATACATTGCGACACTTGGATATATCTCAGGCAAATGAACGACAGGGCAAATATTTTTGCCCAAATGATGTTTTGTCAAAGTTGGTCACTAGTTTGCCACTTCTGGAGTCATTAGATATATCAGGAACAAACTTGGCTGGATCTGGAGCTGCAGCTGTTTCAAAGGATTCTGCTGGCAAGTCAAAAAATCAAGAATGTTGTGATATACCTGGTCTTGTAAGCCGTGTTAACAGACCATTGGAGTTTCTTGGTCTCTATGGTACACATCATGGTGCCTGCAAAAGACATGATATTCCAGCTAAAGTGGTGAGTTTTGGAAATATAATAAGTAATGTAATCTATAATTTTTTTAATGGGTTAAAATAGGATTGAATACAAGAGATGATAGATAAGGATGAAAGCAAGTTAGTTGGTTTATTGTAACATTCAACAAGAATTAAGCATGATGGTTTCCAGAATGTACCATGTCATCCTAATGGAATATATTACTAGCAATTGGGTTGTAAAACCTTATCAGAACATAAAGAATGTAAGTGTATGTTATTCAATGTTACATACACTTATAATCTTCATGTTTTGGCACACAAACAATATATGATTCTAGAAATCACTTATTCTGTCTTCATGCCAATTCGGTATGTTCATCATGATATTAATAATATATTTAGTTGTTAATATCCAGATTATTTAAATAGGTTGACTACCTAGTTAAATAATCTAATTACATGTATTTTCTATATTTATTTTATATATTTAAGATTTCTGGAGATGCTAATGAAGAGCAGATACTTACCGCAGCTACAGCCTACATGGAGAGACCAGCAATGTTAGCGCGTGTTCTCAATGATCTCTACTACTTGTTCCGTTATGAGAATAATGCATATGTGGGCCGCGCCCTCTGTGTTGTTCTTGATGCTATGGATCAACATGTCTTAGAAAAACATATACAAATTTCTGGAAGGTAGTATGAAAAAAAATCTGGTGGTTGAATATTAAGTTGATTTTATATATACATCATACAAAAAGTAATTTAATATATTGATCAATCAATAAATAATCATAAGCATCCATCTTGTATCATTATAATTAGTCTTATAATGATAACTGTGATTTCATTTTTCAGTTTATTATTATTATTTTATATAGAATAAGAATAATTTATTTGCTCGAAATGTGGTACAAAGGTCTTAAATGGTAACTGAGCTACACATTTCGCCTTATCTAAAGGCATACAACTTAGAATGGCAAACAAGTTGACAGTCCGCCTGATGATAAGTGGTAACTGTCGCCTATAGACATGAGCAGTGCTATGGACATAACAGAGTATACTGTTTTGCCTATGATATCCCCCATGTGATGCCATTCTTGAGGACTCAGGTGTTATTAAAATTATTTGTATTTATTTATTATTCAGGTTTTATTTAAATTATATCCAACAAAATAATTATCATTATATATTGGAGAAAGAACTAGAATATTTTATGATTGTGAGTTACACATAGTTATGATATAGCACATATAGTTACAAAAGCTTTATTTCAAAATATATTATGTAAAATAAAACAAAGAAGTTAGATAAATTTTACAATACAATTGAAAAATGTTACACAATATTAACGAATTTATGATTAATGAAAGAAAAGTAATTAATTAAAAAGGGATTTGAATAGGTTTTGTTAATTACATTTAAGATATTCTATACACTTTATATTTTACACATACTTAAGCATTAATTTTTAATGTTTTAGTGCCACACTGTTCTACATTGTGAAGGGAAAGGAAAAAGACAGAATTGGAATCAAACTAAAAAGACGCATCATCTCTGCTTTACTTGATGGGATGGAAGCACATCTTGGGGATGATACAATGATGAGAAATGGTTGCCTAACACTCTGCCAGTTTAAGATTCCAACTGACGTGGTAAGTTTTGTATATTTCTGTAAGCTATTTTATGTATACATAAGGTATCTACTGTACCACCAAGTATATGGTGGGTTGTAAGATGATAACCTAAAGGCTAGTGAAACACATGAATTATATAATACTATCATATTTATTGGAAGTTGTCTTAATATATAGGAAACATATTTCTTAAGGTTATCCCCATACTACATCATCCCTCCAGGAAAAAAAATACAAGTATATATATATTTTTTAAATAAATACATATCATTAAAATATTAACCAAGTAACCAAAATTATTAAAACAAAATCAATATTTAAAACAGATACATTGTCTTTTTTTTTACATAAATTATTTAAACTTTGTAATAAATATGATTTTAATGTATCTGTAATAATTAAGGTAGCTAGGTAAATAATTGTCATTTTATATATTCTTTATTGCACTAAAATATGCAGTAACAACAATAAATTAATAACAATGTTAGAAAAGGCAAACTTATCTCTAAAAGAGATTTCTTCCAGTTAACCTAACACAGTGGCATAGGAAGTAGTGATTGGGCAGTAGTAGTGCAAAACAGAAATTAAAATAAATATTTACATAAATTATAAATCATTATGTATATATATGTATATTTGAAAGATACAATATTAATACATACATATAAATATAAACCTACATAAATAAGAATATATATGTTGAATTTTATATTTAAATTTATAATTTTTATTTTCGTTTTCAATACATATATTTAGATATTAGATTATCAATAAAATAGTTAATATTACAGTTATGATATGTATTTCTATGGTAAGAAACAAAAGGTTATAAAGATTTTCATTACATAAAAATAAAATAAAAAAATGAAATAAATGTTTTATAGAAATATTATCACAAAAAAGATCTTTAGTTATATTCCATGTCATATTATTTCTTTATTTAATAATTTAGTATTGGTATTCCACATAAATTACATGATTCCTATAATAGTACTATGTATTATTAATAAATATAAATAATCAATTAATAAAAATATTTGTCACATTTTCTATCATATAATGAAACTATGCAGCAGAAAATAAATAAAAAATTAAATATTCTTATAATTACCCACGTCCAAACTAACTTTTAAAAATTAGTTGTAATTATTTTTTTAATCAAAATATAAATATTTTTTCAGTTATTTTACTTATAATACATATAGACCCTCAATATCAAAATAGGCATTGTTTAAAATTTTATTAAATATTTAAACTATAAAACATTACTAATATCTACAAAAATTATCCATTTTATTCCTTCAACATGCTGGGACTCTTATGTCCTAAGGTTCTTATCATCACCCAAATTTTTTCCTTCTTTCAGTTTCATAATTTGTTTCAAGCATATATGCCACTGTCAGAGACTTAGTTTCTCCTTCAGAGAGTACAGAATCTATATAAAATAGCTGTCCTGTTACACCTGCATCACCCATTTTTTTGTTTTATATTTATTGAATCACTCAATCATCTGACGTTCTTATCACTTTTAAAACCAACATAAAAATTATCCCCTTTTTCGTGAATTAGTAAAACAGAGTACCATGGCTTGAGTTATTGGTGTTATTGTTTTGTCACTTATTTATTATAAAACAAAAGACTAATGTTATTACACTGAGATTTAAGTTAATAATATACAATGTTACAGATACTATTCCCTTTTATCCATATTGTTATTATAGGAAGTGACCTACTCTGATTCCATATTTTAAGATATTTACAATTTGTTGTTTTAGGTCATATCTGTATGGAGGTTTATTTCTCAAACATTAGATAAGGCAATGGATCTATAATGAGTTTAAAATCAATATTTTTTAATAAAATTTATGTGTTTCTCTAAGTTTGTAGTTTTTATTTTACTCAATCATTTAATAACTTTGATTTGCATAAATGAAGTCCCAGGTTCAATTCTTGATTGGGTTGATATCGATAATCGAACTAGGTATTTATTTTAGATTGTGCCTCTTGATATTCATGTTTTGTATTTCGGTTAGTATGTTGTGGTACTAATAAAAAATACTGAAAATTCAAAATTCATAATAATGAGACCAGAGTTTTTTTCATACTTGACTATTTTTTATATTGATATGATAATCTGTTTTACAGATGTTCGAGTATGAACGTGTCGTGCAAATATTGTTGAGTGGCGTCGCCGATTTGAATCAAGAAGGATTTGTGCAAAGAATTGCCATATATTTACTGAATTCGCTCGCCTGTCAAGTGGACGGAAAGCAAAAACGTTTTCTAGGGAATAACGGCGCAATAGGGGTAACTACTTTGTAAATTACTATAAAAATAGCCTGTATTTAAATACAAATGTACTTTGTGCAAGAGCATGTCATAATCCTAATATTAAACTTGCGCATGATTCTCAAAACTCATAATAATTTACTGAATATAGTGTTCATTTCTATATTTATAACTTGACTTCAAAACTAGGAAACACACAAATGTTTATTGTATCATAATATCGTTATCATATTTACTAATAGTGCCTATACTTACTAGTATAAATATTCTGCTCAACAGTATATGCGAGTGACCTCTTTCTTCACAAGAATCATTATTATTGTTATTGTTGTATTATAATTATTTACTTGTTTATGCCCAGCGAATGTTAACTATTGCGATGTATGTTATCTTTTAATAAATTATAATCATGACCACACGTGAATGTGTTCCACATTGTTTATGCGATATATTTAGTGTTATATAATAGTACTATGGTGTAGGTAGGGGTACACTGCCCCAATTCTTAATAAAACGTTGAAGTTCGCGAGATCTTATCTAATAGATTCCAAAACTTCGTCCTTAAACTATTGAGCAACTCTCCCGTGATTAAACTCCTTAACTAATCCATGAAATAGTGGTAGAGTTGCCACCATATTTATACAATACACATTGCCATCACTATAATGACAGCAGTCGCGCTAAAACCTCTCGACTATCATATCTGAGTTTAAGATCGTGAACATATGTTTTGTAACGAACATATTCATTTCTTTATCCTTAACAGGAGACAGGCGTGACAGATTTGTATGTATGTATTGTTTTATCTGTTTGTATAATATTAAAAATATCAGGTTTCGTGTTTCTTTAATATGTTGTGGATAACAGTAATTAAATCTATGTTTGGTTTCTTAAATCAATAATTAAGTTCATCAAAGATCATAAAATAGTTGATATTAAAAAAAAATATTGCCTTTATGTAACAAATATTGTGAAGTATATTGGAATACATATTTGATGTAATAAAAAATGCTTGTATAAACATTGCGTGACCAGCGTAAATTTTCTTCGTTTGAAAATGTAATGTTACACATTTGTGTAAAAGATGAAAAAAAAAAATAGTATATTGATTCAGCTGTCTTGCCATGACAAATATAATAAAAATATATGAATAATATTAGTGAAGCGTCTATGTAGTAAGATCAACTGTATTAATTGTTATTTAAATATGCTTAAAATATATTTAATAAATAGCATTATAAAAAAGACCCCCACTAGATGGAGTGACGATCTCAAAGGCCTTGCAGGGAGTCAAGGGATGCAAGTGGCTCAAGACCGTTCTTTATGGCGTTCTGTGGTGCAGGCCTTTGTTTAGCAGTGAACTGATAATGATAATGATGGCTGAAATGATAATGATGATATTATAAAAAAAGACATATTTGGTGTATAAGGAGGTTCTCGGTTCGGTTGTATTTTTTTGTTTGTTACTTCATCAGTAATAAACCGATTTAGATTTTTTTTCTGAAGATATACTTACAAATTATTCTCATATAAATTTCATCAAAATAGGTTCAGTTTCCTTTTTAAATCAAAATGCTCGTAACTGGTATTGCCACAATTGAACTCTTTTTTATGTAGATCATAATTTTATATAGTATGTAGTGATTATGTATAATATAACTGAATTTTACTAGATACACACAGACTGTCGTGAGATGTGATGATATACATTGCATTTAAACTCTAAATATGAAACATGTTGCAACTACTATCTTTGGTTAACTTGTTTTTAAATATGCATTGCAAGGTCTAATCAAATATTGGGTAAACACGGTAGATAACTAATTGTGATGTAAGCGCCATACATTATAGTTATGTACAAAAGAGCTAAATAAATTTGCCACTTGTGAATATTCCTTCTGTGTTGTACAGAGTAATGCGTACAACTCTGAGAGCTCAGAAATGCTGATTGGTATTAGTAAATTATGTACGTGTGGAACTGATATATTCTGAGATTATTTTTCATGTCCTAGTTATTTTCAATGTTGCGCTGTTGCTCTTAAATTAACTATTAGGTATATTAGCTGCGCAATTATGATTTACCTTGTAAACATCCGAATATAACTTGGGCGAACGTAATATTTGTATTATTTTTCAATAATGAGTAAAAGGATTACTTATTGTATGTTACTCAATAATAATACCCTATCGCTTATTAAATGTATGTAGTCTTCTAAAGTCACGAGAAATGGACTGCTTCTTTTGTACTGCTTGGCGATATCTATATCGTAATTAGTTTTCGTTAGTGTTATATTTCTTCAATTTAAAGTTTTATTGCACAGATCATTTGTATGTCATGTAATAATTTTAAACATACAAACACAACATCACAACAAATGAATACGACACACTCATGACAATATTTTGTTACAGAAAATGTTAAATTTAATATCAGACCGGCTGGAGCGACGCATATGTGATGACGTACTGGAGGTAGCATGGTCTACTATGTGGAATGTGACTGACGAGACCCCACAGAATTGCCAAAGGTTCCTGGAGAATCGTGGCATGGAGTATTTCCTTGCTTGTCTTAAGGTATTTAATGAAGTCATTAATGAATTCTCTTAATAAAATGACTTTATTGATAACATTAATCACTGTTTCTCTAAGTAGTTTTTTCTACACAAACTGTCCGAAACCGTCCTGTCGGTGATGATGGATCGTTCGCAATTGAACTTGATGCTGTCGCTGTAGAGGTCAGGCTGATGCTCGTACTATAGTAAGGCAACCTCACATTCATGAGGCCCTACTTGAGAGCTAACTATTGATGAAGTATTTTGACTACCTGGTTATGTCTCTGCGAGTACTTATTGTTGGCAAGAGCTGAACAACCCAAAAGTAAATGTCTGAATGACTCTCCAGGATCGCGACAACTCCGACAGATGTCCATAGTGTCATTCTTTAGAATGTGTTTTCGGTAGTTGTTCGTCTTAACCACATGATCCTGTATAGCACAGACAAACCCTTCAGTCTCTCCAAAGAGATCACCGAATTGTAGCTAGTGCACGGTGGTCTTCGTGTTGAAGTATGACTCGTGAAGAATTTTCAGTCTTCTATGCAGCTCTTGTCTTTCCATACGGCCTCCCGTTGAGAGGTAACCTGTACTTCGGGTTTTTGCCAGTCTTCTTTAGTTAAAGAATGAGGAATGAATCTTTTGTCACATTCTATGACCTCTCTATGCATACTCTCGTCTTTTTTCTTTAGAAAATATCTCCTAAGGCTGTAAATCTCGCGGTTGTGCATGCCACTAGCCTTCCGCAGAATATACAGCCTCATGACTGAAGACTTAGTGATCCGTTCTATATGGAGGGTGGTCAGTGACGGTATTAATAAGGAGCAGCTTCTTCGATTCGCGGTTACGGCCCCTACCTCAATTGTAAGCATAAGTATTTTCGTATACATTACGAGAGATCTTAGCGTTCAGAACGGATGTAAATTTTTTATATATTGTGACAATTGATGGAGCGATATGAAGATGGTTTCCTACACAGTATCCTTATTTTAGAGGCCACTCTGGTATTGCACGAGAACGCCTTCAACCAGTAGCGCTGCAATATGTCGATCTTCGGACTTTTCTATTCCGAAGCCCGGCGAATTGCGGCAACCATGTCTTCCTTCTTAATGGAAATGCACGCAGGTCAAAAGTTTGAGACTACTAATAAAAAACTTTTATTGTTACTAAATATTTCCCAAATATTGGCGATAAAAAGTAATCTGCACACCTACATATTGTATTGTTTTGTATATAAGCCAAAAAAAGGGCAATAAACAAACATTGTTTCCATATTTTCCAATGTGAGCCATAGTCCGATAATCGATCGAAAAAATTTATTACCGCATTACCGCAACTAATCCTTTTTTTTTTATGTTACATCAACTTTTAAAACAATTGTTCTAAATTCTTAAAATATTTCTAATGTTTATTTAAACTCTGTATTTTTTGGGTTATCTACAAATATCCGCAATTCGTTTGATTTCGTGTTCTTACAATCAAGATGTTTCTAAAATTTATTATGGTATGGTATGGGAAAAACCTGTGTCAGTGTCTGCAGTGTAAGGACGATTACGAGATGCCAAGTTGTTTGGTCACATTGCTGATGGGCTCTGGACTGAGACTGGATCGAAGAAGATTTTTATAAAGTGCTATGAAGTGACAAATCTAAATTTGAAATATTCGGTTTAAAAAGAAAAATTTTCATTCGATGTTCCACCGAAGAAAAGATGATGCCACAGTGTGTAGTCCCGTCTATCAAGCATGGTGGCGGATCTGTTACAGTCTGGAGTTGTTTCTCAGGCTACGAGACTGGAAATCTGGTCCAAATTAAATAAATTATGAAAAAGGAGCATTATGAAGTAATTTTGGAGAAAAATGCTATTCCCTCCGGACTAAAGTTAATCGGCTAAGGATTTATTTTCTAACAAGATAATGATCCAAAGCACAGTTCAAAATTATGTAGGGGCTATTTAGAAAAAAAAAACAGTCTGAACAGGCGTTAAAAAACATGACATGGCCACCCCAAATCCCCGATCTTAACTTTATAGAGCTTTTGTGGAAAGAGCTTGACCAAAACGTGCGAAAACAATGTCCTACTTCACAGCAAACTATGTGGAATGCATTAGAATAAAGCTGGAGGAATATCTCGCAAGAGACTATAAACAAATTAATTGCTCGCATGTAGTAAAGATTGGTCGGGTCATAAAATGCAAAGGAAGATATTTTGATGAAAAATCTCTAAACTCTCTTGTGTGTGTTTTCTTTAGAACATTGTATTCGTCAAGACTTCATGTAATTTTGGAATTTTAAATCTTGTGTGTAACGTTAAAGTAAAACCTGTTTTTCATAAAGTTTTAAATATATTAATTTTTATTTGTTTTTTTATATTTTTTATAGTGGTCTCAAACTTTTGACCGGTAATGTAGGTTGCATCGGTATTATTCGAACGCATGTTTCCTCGACACCATGCATCCATGCGCTTTTCTCGCACTCCACAGGTTTAGACCACAGCTGTAGCCAAAATGTGACGAAGTTGGCTGTTTCTGGTATTTGTCCTGTGAGCTGCAATTTTGAGCACTCTAAGTTCCTATAGAACTTCAGTTGATCACTCATAAAAACACTCTTGATACATCTCGACTTTCTTAAAGTACCATCAAAGTCACTTCTCCCATTCGGGGATATTCTCCTTTAGGTCATCGATGTACTCCGTAATTTTTTGTCCAAAGTTCGGCTGGAACAGACGTGTAACTGTTCCAGCAAAGGCCTCTTTTACGGGGTGCATAATTCTTGGGCGAATATTGTCCTTCCCGAAGCAGAGCAGTCTGCCATTTAGAATTTTTAACCTGGGAGATCCGGCGCTCAATCCTTCTTTTCTAGGCTAATTTCGCGTTATCTTTTTAGATATTATGTCAAGCCCGGGGCATTTTAGCTCTGTCATTTCGACATACTGGCAACGTAGCGTCAAACAGGATTGAGCTCCCCACTCCTAGGTCACTGCTGCTCTGTAGATCCCGGCAGCCTCCGGGTTGCGACTATCTTCTCTTCATTATTTAACCCTTTGAGTGCCGACGAGCGTCATAGCGCTCGTGAAATCAGTCGCTGTTTAACTTGCTGTAAAAAAAATATTAAAATTGGATATTTTTTGGAGGAGATACAATTTTTTTAGAGACAAGGGTAAATGACATCAACACGACAAAGATTTCTTTGGCATTTTTAAGTAGATATGAGTAAAAATCAATAGCACTAAAAGGGTTATACATGCCATCTATATTTTTACCTAAACTGTTGACTGTATAAAATGGTTTTATATTAAATATTACTTTATTATTATTCTTATCTTATTTATAGAGTTTTCCTGATAAGGAAGAGTTGCTTCGCAATATGATGGGGCTTCTCGGCAACGTTGCTGAAGTAGCTGAACTACGGCCGCAACTGATGGACAAATTGTTTCTCACTGTCTTTTATGAATTACTCGATTCTTGCAGTGATGGTATAGAGGTATAGAAAACTAATCATTTTATATTTATATACTTAACACTTCATGGCATATGCCTCTCCGATTTATTTTACATTAATTTTGTTTATATTATATTGATAAAACATATAACTCGAGGGAGAATTTATACAAAAGCTGTCTATATGGTTAACTTAGTCGCTCGTGTTTCGGTTTAAGGGTGGGTGGGAATATGGCAGCGAAATTACTAAAGCTATAATATCCTAGTCCTCAAGATAGCAGTGGATGAGGTAGATACCATGAAAATCAAAGTATTTACTTTGTGATATCCATAGTGTTATTCATATTTATTGATCATCACTTACCGTGTAGTCCCAGCCTGGCATGGACCACCCTTTTCTTTCCAGTAGGTGTCGTAAGAGACGACTCGTCCTTTTTAAAACATCACCAAATCCTAACTGTGGTTACTAAACTGCCTGCCAAGCGTGGCAATTACTGGTAGAATCCCTTTTATACAAGAGACCTATGTTCAGCAGTGGGCAGTTAATGGCTGATATAATAATAAAAATAACTTTTTGTCAGGTATAAACAATAAACTATATTTATTTTAGGTAAGCTACAATGCTGCCGGGGTGTTAGCTCATATGGCGTCAGATGGCCCCCAAGCTTGGACAGTAGACGAGCCAGCTCGCGAGGCAGTGTTGGCGCGTGTTGCAGCTGCGGTCGATCGTTGGGACTTAAAAGCGGAACGGAATATTAACTATCGTTCTTTTGAGCCTATACTCAGTTTGCTGAATGCCCATCACACACCGCAGTGCCAGCATTGGGCTGTCTGGGCATTGGCTAATCTTACAACTGTTTACCGTAAGTAGAATAAAATTATTTTTTATTGAATAGTACATACATTATAAGACCAGCATATAACAAATTACGTTTAAGTTTGGTAAAGGAAATTAAGATAAAAATGATGGCGTAACGTATAGGGGGTAACGTAAATAAATTAACAGTTACCTCTCGATAAACAAACAATTTTCTTACTGTACTGCAAATACAAACATAGATATGTCTCCATGTAATACAATATTGTAGCCGACTCCGGACGGGGAACTCATCAGTTTGGTTCTCACCATCCTTCACAAGTCCTGGGGTCGAGCTGGGTGTGGATCGTTGCGTGTTTGGGCGGTAAAAAGGAACGTATTTACACTATGTATATGGAAAAGGGTATCGCGATACACACGAACACGGTTACTGACGATATCGCGTCTCCCGCGTTGATAACGCCCCGCACAGATAGTCAGTCGTCCGGCCTGCGGCTTACCATATGCACGCGCTCGTTCCTGTCGTCGAGGTCGGACGCTGCGGTATTGTATATAGCGGTGAGTTCCCCGTCCGGGGTCGGCTACAATATGAAAAATTCAATAAACATACGAATATCGAACATAAATAATTTTAAAATTGGTAGTTCTTTATAATCACTGGAATCACAATTTGAACAGTATATTATCTTACCTTTAAATTTGCATTAAGAAGAAATATAATTACCACATTAGTCATCATCATTACCTTGCCCTTTCCCATTTATTTGGGGTCGGCGTTACAACGCCGACCCCAAATAAATGGGTGTCTTGATGAATGTCTTTTTTTTTCAAATTTCTGCCTGATGATGATGAATGTCTTTTTTTTTCAAATTTCTGTCAACCATCATACCGGAGCTTACTCCTTTTTTTAATATATATCATCTTTCACATAGTCCATCCACCTTTTCTTTGGTCGTCCTCTTTCTTTACATAAATCAAGTTTCATACTTATACCTCCTTTAAAACACGGCTTTTACGTCTACCCATGACATGCCATCATACCAAGACAATCTATTATTTCACAACTTCTCTGTTACTGAAGCAACTTTTACACTTCCCCATACTTTGACATTTAAAAAATTTTTTTTGAGATCGACGAATACCTAATATTACCACAATAGTGATATATGAAAATATATATTTATTTCAGCTGAGAAATATTGTAATCTAGTGGAAGCTGAAGGAGGATTAAAATTATTGAAGGAACTACTGTTGCACCCTGCTCCCTATAAACTAATCAAGGATCTCGCACATGTTGTCATCGATAATTGCTCTCAGTATGCCGTGCGCGAATATGATGCCGGTACTTCCCTGGATCCGCTTGCGCCAGACAACTAACTAATGGAGTACTTTGAGGATATATATCCTCTAATGCGAGAATAGCTGAGATTCGCGTGGGTTTCCGTCCTCTGGACCCACCTGGTGATAGCTGTAGCTGCGTCTACTGAGACCACCGGCAACCCAGGACAATGAACTCTAGTGATGTCGCGAACTCTATTCAAACGCATAAATGAACTATGGTGAAATGAGTTAAAAATCTATCTCGGTATGAACTAAAATGTTCACTGTGTTAGTACAATAAGTAAATACTATGAGTGGCGCGTGCCATTATGTTTAAGTGTCGAACTTAAATTTTGGCATCTCACGGGCATGGTATAAATATTTATTTATGCTTCATATGCATGTTTTTTTTTATCAATAACAAAAAATAACACTTTAGTTATCGTGATTTATGGCTAACCAACTACTACCTAATAGATTTCTTTTAAAGAAACTGTTTCTATATAAAATATTTGATGTTAGAGTTATAGTAATATATTGAAAATAGAAATAAGGAAGGTGCAACACTGATTATTTTTTGTTTAGCCAATGCTTTAAATTTTATAGCAATATGATCTGTATTTTGTACCTTATATATATTGGATTTCTATATTTTACATTTAAGAAATATTTATTTTAGGATTTCAGTAAATGTTTATTAGTTACTATATCAATAGCTTGTTAATTCGGCAATGTCTAGTATGTATGTTATTTATATAACTGTTTATATTTACACCATATGTTACTAGACTTACTACTATTACTATATATGTGTACTAATTATTGTTAATTAGATTTCGCAGAGTCCATCGATAATTTGATGATATTTTAAGAGAGCAGTCTGTTTCAATGTCATACTTTGTATGGGTTACTTATATATACAGAGATCATTAACTACATAATGACAGAAGTGATTTTGTTATCGTTTTCGTGTAATAATGTAAATTCTTTACAAGTAGTATAATAACCACTTATGATTTTATACTTAAATACACTAAATTTCATGTAGTGTGGTGGTTGTTTTATGAATAACAATTGATTTGGTCGATATTAATCGATACAAATCGAATCGCTGTATTTTTTTTCATTGTTCTAGATAATGGTAACAATTTTATCTAACACCTTCACAAACCCATCACATTTTAATATAATCAGCTGTAAATTAATCAGCAGCATTTTTTTAAATTTTAAAGAAAGTAAATCGAATAGTATATTTTTTTATTAATCCTGTAAATCAAAACATAGACATCTAAATCAAGTTTTAAATATTATATAAAATAGTTTACTATTATAATCTTTTAGAGAAAACGACAAAGAGTATCTATCTAAAATATTTCTCAAAAACACAACGAACATTGTCTTTTAAAATAATATTACAAATATTATTTTACATGTTCAGTATTCGATTGAATCCATTTACAGAAACCCATCTTTTATAATTAAAAGAAAGGTGTTTTGTAGATAAAATATTAGATTACAATTATATTTATTATCCATTAAAAATATACTTTTGTATGGGGATAAATCATGCCTTTGCTTATTACTACTTATTATTCGGCCGTCCGTAGAATCTAAGCCGTTAAATGACGTATGGTTTTTAGTATGCCGATTAAATCTAAATCGCCTTAACTTCCTAATACTCCTCAAATGTTGCATCAGTGATGATGAAAGCTATAGTATCACACATTACTAGTGATATGATGCTCTCTCGATTTTAAATACAGTCATAATAGAAACTGATGTGAAATATAAAATGTATTTATGGTTTTAAAAAAATCAACATTTACAAAATATTTTTCTTGATGTCATTAAAGTGGTATATTTATATCTACAATAGTATGTTGATATAAAATTCACCAATTAAAACTACTTACTTAATTTTACGAAAACGAATAGCAAACTTCTATAAATTGTGTTAAGTACATCTATCTCTGTAATCCAACATGGATATATTTAATAATGTTTTGTTTTATTTACTTTGTTGTAAATCGTCAGATACGGTTATTACAAGTATTCAATAAGGTGTATTATAAAAGAGTTTCTTTTACCTAATTTAGTGAAACGATTTCTCATTTACATCACACTTCTTATATTCATGTTTTTGTTATTAAAAAAAAATCACTTATAAAAAAAGTTGAAATGTATTAATTCTAGAAATCTTAAATCTTAAAAAGATTGTCGTTTTAGTAATTAATATGTTATCAATAAAGTAATAATACAAAAAAGATGTTTCATTTAGTAACATTATTGAACAAGTCAATATGATTTTATTTGGACATGTGTTATTGAAATAATATATATTGTGAACTGTTAGTAAGAAATGAAACGCCGGTTCACAATGAAAAGTTGTACTGACGTATTTATAAAAAAATTAACAATAAAAAGATTAAAATATAAAATACAAATTATAAAAGAGTGTAACAATATATTTTTTTAATAAATGTTAATGATTTCGTTAGTATGAAATAAAAACGCATTGATTATATATACATAACATTATATAATTATAATCAATGGTTTTTTTATGCTTACTGTTGTCATTTACATTTATATTACTTTAATAACACATTTTTAATTTGCTCTGAAAAAATGGTTCTGCTATTTTCTAGCAATCAATTTTTAAATTCGTATAATAAAATGCGTTAGTGGACACTGTTACTTGATATTGACACAATCTTTCCCTATTAATTTCCAAACACTACAATTTTATGGACAGTACTAAGAAAAATAGAAGTCACACAGCCGCGATCTTATCCATGTTTAAAGCAATATCAGAAGGCTTCATTTGAATATCAATGCTCAAAAATATTTACTCGTAATTCGCTATCTTGAAACAGCGGAATGAACTCTGTTATTCCTTACTGAGAAGCAGACCTCGTGTCCGGCCGACATATCGTACTGACTATACCGCGGTTACAAACTTGAGCATAAATTTGTTCTCATTCTAGGTTTGTATGTATATCTGGACCGATGTTTGTTAGCGCTGTATTCATGGGTTTGTAGACAGGGATTTATCGGTTTTAGAGACATGTGTAGATTACGGGGGCTATACTCGTATTTATGTGTTTTTACAGGTCTCACAGCGGTGATTTGAATGCTCACCATTCCGAGGAGCTTCATTCTTGGTTCACTGACTACGCGGGGAAAGCTGCTCATGAACTTATAGATTCTCTCAACTGGTCCATTGTTTAACGATAATACCAGATATAGAGAATTATACAAGTTGCTTATTGAACCTTCTGCTGACTACACCCCTGGACAGATATACTGTAAGAGTGGTAGCGTCACTTCGTACATCTGACCATTGTCTTATCTGGGCTGATGTCTCCAACAAACGACCTGATTCACCTTGTTCTGTTGGACGAAGTCGTGTGTGGCACTATAAATTAGTAGATTGGGATGGCTTGCAATAATTTTATGCATCATACCCGTGACAGTGGCTATATTTTGCATCAGATAACCCTAACATCTGTGCAATTGCTTTTAGTGAGGCAATAATTGAGGGTATGAAATTATTTATCCTCAACTCGCAAGTGGCAACAAGATCAAAGCGTCTGTGGTTTAACCGGTCTTGCTAAAAAGCTAAGCATGGACTATGGCTCGCACTAACACTGATTCTAGGATTACTGACGTAAAGTAGCAATTAAACGCTTTGAGGCACAGTAAGTGACTAGCCAGAGCTAAATTCAAATTTGTAAGCAAAATGACTAGGCGACTATTAATGCTTACTTCTAGTAGTCGTGCTTTCTGGTCGCTTCCTAAAGTCGCTCAGGGAAACTTGTCAATTGTCCTTATCGCCACTTCGGAAGCCAGATAGAATTTAGCCTACAATGCTAAAGAGAAAGCCAACCTATTAAGAAATCTTTTTGTTTCTAACTCTATTATGGATAAAGGAAATTCTGTACCACCTACCACCTTGTATGTATAAAGCTGCATGCCAGAAATTACCATAACACAACAAAAGCAGTAAAATCTCATCTAATCGAACTATAGAGAGCGTAGTGAGCAATATCGAAGATTGGTACTGGACTCTACAAAAAATGAGAATTACTTACAGTGGGACAAATATTGTTTTTTAACATAGAAGTCCAAAAATACTCCCATTTAGTATATTTATATAGCGATAGGCGCAGAAACGGTTGTCTGTCGTTCTCGCTTTTCGCACTAGTTTCTTCCAAAACTTGTGTTAAATATATGGTATATCTCTTACACAGATCAAGTAGCAAAAGATCAATAATTAAATATCAAAAATCTCTTTATTACCGGCAAACAGCAAATCTCTTGTCTCCATCAAAGTAGTATAGTAACGTTATTAACTTGAATAATTTTATACTTTTATATTCTTTAGCATACGTACTCTTAGCATTCCCACTCATTAGACTATAAATTAGTTGTACGAGTGTACAACTGATTTATAGAGTCGAATGAGTGGGTATATACACACATATGGTACACTCATTCTCTGACTCACTTCATCTTTACTCTCTCTTTCACAACCACCTACATTAACACACACAGTCTGTAGTTTGCAAATTCTTACCTTAATTATTATTTTAATATTTTGAATGTTAACTTTATTCTCGCAATTTATATATTTCTTTATTGTTATCTGTGTATTGTAACATTAATTGGTTGCCTTATATTTGAGTAGTCCATGGAAATGGGGCACTGGTGACTTATAAAAAGTGTCTTTTCCAAACCTACTGTTACAGTTTTACTACTTTTTGTGAAGAGAAAAATAAATCATTCATTCATTCATTACGGCGGAAGTTACTCACCTTAGATTTTCATAAGTCAAGAGGGTCAGACAGGACCTTACCGGACATTAACGGCTGGACATTACTGCTCGCTTCCCGCGGGTTTCTGTGCTTACAACCTTATGTGACATTCATTGCGGATGACAGTACTAGGGATGCTCATTATACGGGTCATACCAATGTCCCTCATTTCTTCATGTAGGACAATTATGAATACTTTGTGTCTGAAATCGGGAGAACGTTAGGTAGGGTTTCGGATTAGAGACGACAAATAGCAAGCTTGAGCGTTTACTTCTAAAACCCTATTTGCTGTGACAAAGCATTGGAATTCTTGAAGTCGACATCTCTAGTGACGTACAGTTGCATGGCCAACTCGAAGATATGGTGAAGCTTAACTAGTATCAGTTTAATATATTACGCCTACTTACATACAACACTTACAACTACAACTTTTATTTTGTTTAAATATGTTCTACCCATCATATATCTATGCAATTGTTATGTGTTATAGTTAGATATGTACTGAATATATGTATTTTTGGTCGATGTACCTCAAGAAATAGTCACTAAAAACCACCCCTGTTTTTTCAATATTTTTTACGACCTTATAATTGGAAAATTATAAAAAAATAAATATAAAGCTAGTTTTTTTTTTAATTGATGATAATGGAATGATAACCCCACCCGCGCTATCGGTGTACACCGACGGGGCACCAGTGAAAAGTGATAGGTGAGGAGATGAAGCAGGCCAGTTAGCCAATCGTGACGAATTCAACAAGAATTGTTCACGATGGTTTCCAGGGGGAACCACGTGGAGGTCGACCTGATAGGGCATATTGCTAGCAATGGGGCTGTCAAACTCCATTACTAACAATCCCTTTCCCCCCTTATATAAAGCTAGTTAGGAGCTCTCTCTCTGTCTGTCTCCTTAGTTTTATTTAAATATCTATCATAATTTCGTAGAAAAACAATTTTAAAGTTTGGGGTTGCAACTTCCATTTTCCAAAAACGGATAAAGTTGGGGATTTGATAATTAGTCAAAAATAATTTCCAACAACTAGCATTATTTTAAATGCACCAGTGTCAACAAAGACGCCAGTGCAGATTTCGTAAGGAAACACGTCGAGACCCTCTCTGTATCGAGAATGCGTTAATATTAAAATATCGTCGTTAAATGATTAAGTGTAGATTGTCTCAATTTCTGGCATATTTTAAAAGTCGTGAGGTGATCAAGTGCATTTTTATATTTTTTCTTACTCGGTAATGGAATGGAAACCCCGCCTGGGCTATCGGTATAAGCTGGCAGGGCGGGCACCAGTCATGGATGATAGGTGAGCATGAAAGCAGATTGGTTAGCCAATGGTTTCCGGGGGACCCGCGTGGTAGTCGACCTGATAGAGCTTGTTAGCAATGGGGGTATTAGTCCCCATTACTAACAATCCTTTTCCCAGGTTGTGAGTATTAGGTAGAGCTATGACTATCAAGTACGCAGTTTTGTTTGTTTTGTTTATTAACGTAATATCTGGTTTATTATAGTAAAGTGTTCTCTCTGTGAGGATGACTCGGTCAAAGTAAAGTTTAGCTATGGAGTTTATGGAGCTAGTAGACTTTCGGGTTTATATTTATAATATGGTTGAATGGAGGTGCAGAAATTATTTTAGTAGGTGAGTTTTTGGTGTGTTATATTGGCTGTCAGGTCATGTCTATGTTTAAAATCTGTTTGTGCTATTGCTTTACTCGCTCTTGTTATATGTTGAATCGTATCCGGGCAGCTATTGCATTTTTGGCGTGTATCGGATGTAAGGGTGTTTGTAATGTAATTTTGATAATTTTTAGTCTCTATTACTTGATCCTGGATAACCATCTATCAAGTATATAGTTTTTTTTTATAATAATAATATCAAAAGAGTATATAATTATAGGGACAGCAAAACTATTAATAACTTTTATTTTATTACGGGCATCTATTTGTGTTTGGAGAATAGTATTGAATCTATGACGAAACTATTGCTTTAATTTATTATTGGTCTCCTTATATTGAATTTGGCGTGCCTGATTATACCCTAAATATTTGTATGTTTCCTGTTTTTCCAGTGGTTAGATTTGTTCTCCTGTAGTCATTGTATAATGGTGTTAAAAATACTGTCCGGACTTAATTTATTCTACATTTGTCTATACCGAATTCCATTTTAGTATCTTTTGTAAATTTGTTCTGTAAGGGCAGCTATTTGGATCAGGTAATTTCATTACTGGCATAAAGTTTTATGGCATTCATGTAAAGTAAATTATTTACAATTTCGTTAGGCTCTGGATATTCATTAGTACTTTTATCTTGAGCATAAAATCCTAATTGTGGTGAATTTAATATATTTGAAAGCGAATTTAGGGCAAGGCAGAACCAAAGAGGGCTTAATGTATCACCCTGAAAGATACCTCGATGAATTTTAATGGGTTCTGTCTCTGTTATTGCAGATGAAGTCGATATTTTTATCTGAGTGGATTACGGTCTTTAAAAGGGTAATAATTTTTGGATGTATTTTGTATATATCTAGTACTTTTGTTAATCATGAATGAGGGACAGAATCATAAACTTTTTTAAAGTCAATGTACGTATATAGAAAATATATTGGTTTTTTATTTTAAAGTTTATTTAAAATTACAGAATCTGTAATCAATTGCTCTTTGCAGCCTTGACTAGACTTTCTACATTCTTTCTGTTATTCAGCTAGACATTTATTTTCGTCAATGTGTTCATATATTAGATCGGATATGCAAGGTGTCAGAATTTTGTATAGCGTTTGTAAGCACGTAATTGGTGTGTATTTTACAGGATTAGTAAGATCTTTAAAGTTTTCAAGAATCATAAAAGATATTTCATGGGTGATGTAATCTGGGATTGTATTCGTATTTTTAATTAACTGATTAAGGTGATTAAGCAAATGCCCATCAATTTTACTAATTTTTTTTTTATACCGAAATATTAATTTTTTTATGTTCGAAGTAGGATATTATGGGTGGTGACTCTAAACATTCGTTCGTTTTCTGGTTTTTATAAGACTCTCCAAGCTTAAGGATAAGGCAATTGATGTAATCTTGATATTACTAAAACAAATTAAATATTAAAGTATTTTTTATTTCTTTTTATAACATCATGTATTATAATTATAACATCTCCATATACATTTAAACAAATATTCATCGGCTAATAGTATTTAGACTATTTTAGGCGCATGTTAATCAAAATAAAGTGTATAAATATATTCCGAACGAATTTATTTTGTGCTTAACATGTATTCTGGTGACTAAATAATTACTCTATAAGTGCTTTAAATCGTTCTTAATTCACGTAAGACATAATTTCGTTACACAGTTATGATTAATAATATAAGTTATTGAAACCTTGTAATAATAGAAGTAGGTACATATAATTGAACTAGGCTAATATAACTCGTCTGATAGTCACTTAATGTAATAATATTTATTAATATTTTTGTTCAACGACTTAAGCAATTTTGTTTGCATCACTTCTATTTTGTAACTATCGATGATTGTTATTATTCTGGTTAATTACTTAACTAATTTTTATTTAGGCATTTATAAGAATTTGTTAGAAATAATGATATGTGGTTAATTCTAGACATACACATAAACTATTTAGCATCAAAAGTAACAGTTAATTTTTAAATATCACATAATATTCGTAAACATTATAATATGTTTTTAATATCTTATATGGTCCTTTGTGACGTAATACCTAACACGTGTCTACTATTATCGTTACATTTGTGATTAGCAGGCACCTAATTATTAATGCAATAAAATTTTATACAGGCCATAATACTATGTCACTTAAAATTATTACCCGTTCTAAATTGTAAATAACTAGGTAATGACAACTGTTTATTGACATATATTATGCGTTTCATAAGTTAATTCTTTAGATACGGTTATTGTTAAGATTAATATAAAAAAATATGATCGTGATTATGGAATAAAATCCAGTTTCAATAATTCAGTTCTTACTAGGATATTGAATTGTTTCTTCTAAAAAGGCGAAGCGCTAAGTCTTACAGACATCTAAGTAAGTAGATTCTATACTATCTATCAAGTGCATTATTATTTGAAGACCACAATTATTAGGCACATGGATTTTGTATTGGAGTTTTAATTTCTATAGTTGTTAACTGACACGTGATTTGGGCATTGTGCAGAGTTCAGGGCTCCTCTGTTATTCATTGAGTATGCAAGTGCGCATTAGAGCATCGGTAACTGCGTAAGGATCGCAGTTAGAAGCTGGTCGACGATCTTCTAGGTAGCCCTTCTTCTCTTCAGCAACAAGACGCGGTATTCTGATGCTACTGCCGCGATTAGCGACACCTGTAATGTTAAAAGGTTTTTATTTTAATAGGAGAGCGTGAATATATCTGTAGGGGTATAATAACTTTCTTTACAACTCTAATGTTCGAATTATGTGTACGTGTAGTCTACGCAAGGCTAAATCTGGTCAACCAACTCTCTAATGTCGGTAACATTTGTTGATAATCTTATTTAATCATTATATTGTTATAGAAAAATATAATATAATAAGCTGTGAAATCGCTCCACAAGATCAAATGTCGCCAAAATAAGTATTACGATTAAGATGTTCTTTAAGATGGGCAAAGAGTAATTACAATCCTATAAAGTAGAATATACTCATAAAAGTAACTTAATTTCAATGTATACCTATAGACAACCTAGACTCGTGTCATACATAGGTAATAAGAAACAATTATTTAGTCGAGATAAACACTATCCATAAATCTAAATAATAAAATAGAAGGGCTTGGCTCTGTGCTACATACATTTAAAATATGCACAGTAAAATACAGACACATCGGACCTTTTATTCACCATAATAGTAACAGATGACAGTGTACCTCATTTGGGATTATACTCATGGTAACATATACCGAAACTATATGCTTTAGTATTTTATGTATGGTGAGAGAACATGACTATAGTATTTCATCATTTATTTTTATTCCCAGGATACTTTATGAGGCTACTAGACGAACAAAGGAAGCACAGTAGACCGGTGCAAGAGATAGAAAAATCGAAATAATGTGTAACATGGCGCCTGAGTGGTATAGTAATATCTTCTTCTTAATCTAGAGACATATGTCCTCCAAAATGGGATGTAATTATGTTTTCCAAAAAAAAATATTACCTGCGCTGAAATCGTTAATACTGGCTGTTTCGTGGAGACCCGTCAATCGTCTTTCGTTATCTTTGCCACCTCGAGGATCGTACACCTTGATATGTTTCATGTGCACCTTGGATAGCTTATCAATTGCCTTCTCGATTTCACTAGAACAAATTTTTAAAATAAATCAGCAAATTATTTAAAAAATCATACCTATTGTAAATAACAAGGTGCTATTTGTCAAGGATTTCCAGTTTTTAATGCCGGGCATAAGTACCGAATTCTATGAATATTTATAAATATGTATGTGGACATTGAAAAATGCCGTACCTTCTAGAGTAAGACTAAAGTAGATATTTGAATAGTACTTTGTAAAAAACCATATATGCAAGTGATTGTAGTGACATTAGTAGCTAAGAATACAACTGGGTATACATATATTTCATTTTCTAGGAAGTATTTATACTTGTCTTTGTAAAAGCCCGTATATTGTTTAATCTTGAGTTTAACTAGTAAATTTTAGGATTTAGCAAAAAGAGTTGGTTTCACCATGCCAAACGTAATTTACCTTTCTTATCACGAGTACCAGCTCCACGCACTAGACAAGTTTAAATATATGACCTTTTTAATAAAATCCTTCCATATATCAACTCATGTTGGTAAATCCTAAGATATACTAGTTAAATCTAAGGTTCTCCAATGAAAGAGCGTTTACAGTAAAAAATATATATCGTCATAGTCGTAGAATACTGACGGATCTATATATGTAATATTTGTCAGATCCGTCAGTATTCAACGACTATGACGATATTATATACGAGTATGAACCCCAAAGCAAAAACTACTGAACAGATTTGAACGAAATTTGGTATACGAATAGGTTATATTTTAACTTACCACATAAGATATTTTATATATTAATTCAAGCGGAAAAAACCGCAGGATATAGCTAGTATTAAATAATAATGTAATTCTATAGGTACTGTTTTGTACTTGTACTACAATAAGTGGAGTTAATTGAAGGAGCACTAATGTCGGTTATGATTACTCTTAAAGGCACGTATCGACATTAATACCTTTCCGGTACGTTTGTGGTTGTTTATAATTAATAATAATATTATTCTTCTTAGCAAGTACTTACAAGAAGTTAGTTGAAAATATTAATTGTTTTAAAATACAATCAGAGTTAATATGATTTGTATTCAATGTATGTATACCGCAATAACAGAGTAGCGTTCGTGGTGTTGCTTGCTAACATTGAGTTTATATTTAGCCGCTATTCAGTGTCATTGCTAGACCATCTTAAGGTTACATTAATGCTTGTAAAACCTTAAAATGACGTCGGTTACCTGTAAACCGACTATTGAATGGTATTTTACGTAGGATACACACATATGTAGACCTAGGCATGTAAAAGAACGAAAGCAAAAATATTTTTCTCAAATGTAGTCACGGAAACTACATGCAGATTTAACAATGACTAAATGCTGGATAATTCAAATGTATATATTGCTACAGGTTACTAAACGAGTTTATGAAAAGAGCATTGATAACATTGTTGTCAGGAAAGAAACATATCTACCTACATAATTTCCGTTGAAGATATATAAAATATAATTTTTGAGTACTATTGTTTCATGGTTGAAAGCTAGAGAATATTGATTGAAAAATGAGTAAATATATTTACATACGTGTACGAGTTAAAGATAATAGCTGAACTGAATTAAAGATAATTACCTCACCTTTGGTTGCTTTTTGTAGTTCTTTGGCTGTTATATATTTACAAGATATTTTTTCGACACGAAAACAAAAACATGATGATACAGACATTTATCATCAATATTTATTATTATTATAATTTTATTACTATAATAAACTGAAAATGTTATAGTAATATAACGCACATAATATTAAACCTATTGTATATATTAAATCTTGTGTATTTTAAATAGATATCTATCGACGAAACTAAATTAATAAATTTTAAATACCTAAATAAAATTTCATTCGAGTGTATTCTATTTCAAATAATATCTATCATGAAACAATAAAATATCTTCATTCACTGATGCCTAGATATCTATGTAGTATTCTGATAATCGATAAATATCGCATATTCTCATCACACAGTAATGTCATTGAACTGTCAAGAAGATAAGATCATGAGAGTTAGGTACACAATATTATGCGCCCATGAGTGGAAGTGCTAGTACCTATATTTTTATATTTATGAATTAATATGTCTTGGTAGATGTATTTTTAGTTAGACAAGGGCAATGACTGTGCACGTGTCGTTAATTTTAAATCATGCAATTATAGTATGTTTGTATTAATTTGTATATCCAAAACAAACTTTCCTAACAAACTAACGGAAATACCTATGTTATTGAAATAGTACCTATTAATTCTATATATGTATCTATACTCTATCTATACTCTATACTCCGGGGAAAGGATTTGATAGTAATGAGGGTCTAAAAACCCTATTGTAAACAATATAACCTATCATGTCGATCTCCACGCTGTTCCACCATGAAATCACGATGAATTAACATTCATCGTGATTTCACACAACAATGGGTCAACTAACCTGATTTCATTCTCAACTGTTATACCATACCTCACTAGTAAGTACCCCAACGACGTATACTGACAACGCAAGCGAGGTTATCATTCCATTTTCACCCATTAAATACGCATATTTATACTTATTCATATTTCTATATATATTTTTTTTTAGTAGGAAATACTAAAATTAATCTGTGATTATATTTAGTCCTCATGTAATCAATATATAACTAACCTAACCTAAACTACATAAAATAAATTATATTTTAATCAATAACTGATGACATGTTTTTTATGTAATTTAAATAATAATCAATAACTATGTAAAGGAAGTACTCACATAATACCGTTCTCTTCTCTCATTTTCTTTGTGGAGAAGTTGGTGTGTGCTCCAGATCCGTTCCAGTCCTGAACGGGTTTCGGATCGAATGTGACAATCACACCGTATTCCTCGGCTAGCCTGTGAAGAATGTACCGAGCAATCCAGAGATCATCCCCAGCTGTCACGCCCACCGACGGCCCAACTTGGAACTCCCATTGTGAGGGCATTACTTCAGCGTTAGTGCCTGCAATTGGTACGCCAGCGTACAAACAGCATCTGGAACAAATTAATAATGAAAATAAGCGAACACACTTTTTAGTTAATAATAGTTCATCAATTAGGTATTCTCAAATGTGTTTAATAAAAATTTCTGTAAATCTGTAGCTATATGTATATTTAGACAATTTAAACATGTTCTCTTAATTACCAACATGTAACGATAATAAATAAAGGTCAACGCACCAATGTCTTATAATGTGTTTTTAATAATATATATACACTATATTAAAGTACGGTATACAAGTTAGATGGCTAAATAAAGTTGTAATGCTCAAAAAGTTTATTACATTTATTTTAGTACATTTGGGCATTTTTCTTGGATATTAAGAAGGAAGATCAGAAATAAACAATGTAATTTATATAAAATATTTTTCCCTTCTATAGAATGACTATAATCTCCACCTTCTTCGCTAAAACTTATATTACATTATGCTTTTGTTAATTTTCTGAATTTATTCTAACAAACTCTGTATTGATGTTTTGATGATTGATAACTATAAGTAGACTCTTTCGAACATTTAAAATATAAAATTACAACATATGTCTATGTCTGTGACTGAAAGTGTGGTTTTATTATTTGTCGTTAAATAAATTTGTAATAGGTACCTGTTTATAGAAAGTAACACATCAGTTAAAACAGTTACCTGTAGTGAGCCTCAACGAGATCCCTAGCGAATACTTTGTTGGCACCAACACCGCAGTAGTAAGGGCCCTGTGGTGGAGGGAAACCACCTGGGGGCCAGCCGAAGGGTCGGAGGTCAGAGTCCAGAAGAATATATTCCTGCTCAATGCCGAACCAAGGTTCCTCATCTCTACATTTATCATAAGCCTCTTGACATTTCACACGATGATTACTTTCTGTCGATCAGAATATAAATAAAATAGATTTGATTAATTCTTGTAAATAATGATTTAATGAAACAAAATAGTTATATAAGTACATCAAGTCAAGCTATAATTAAAGCTATAATTTAAATTATATCACTTGTTTATAATTTAGCTATGTGCATACTCCATTTTATTGTATTAATTTATGTTTCACAGTCGGCATTCATATTTCACTTTATTCAATTTCTAGTGGTTAGAACTTTTTAGCACCAACTAGACCTAGTTTCAATTTCTTCACCTTATTAAGTAATAAATTGCCCATACATTGATGACACTATGAACATCTTATTTATAAGGTTTATTTAACAAAATTAACTATTGTAGTCTGATATTAACTTATTATTAGAAAATTTTGTACAAACCTGTAGGTTCCATGTTGTACTTAAAGGTATCGCACATGACGAGAATGTGGTTGCCTCGGCGGAATGGATCCTTGTAAATAGCCCTAGGCACCAAGAATGTATCCGAGTTGTGTCCAGTAGCTTGACCTGTAGAACTACCATCGAAGTTCCAAACCGGCAAATCTACAATAAAATATACTTATGTTATATTAGAAAAGAGACTTTTATAAATTACGTACGATTTAACAAGTTTATTAAATAATAAATAATCTTCTAAAGTATAATGAAGTATGGTAATACGTTTCGCTTTTTAAAGTAATTTTTAATTACAAAATACTTATACCTACGTCACCATGTAATCCCGGCATAGAATGGGCCATCCCTTCCTTTCATGTATTTCATAAGAGGTGACTAATGAAATTTAAAATTTATTGGAAGGGCAGCAGTGTCCCTCTTAAAACATCACTAAAGACTAACTGCGGTTGCCAGCCCGCTTGCCTAGCGTGTCAACTACTGGCAAAACCTCCAAGAATACGGCTGATATGATGATGATGATAAACCTACTTATAAAGAGAAACTTCAAAATAGCTTGTGTTGAATTATTAAAAAATACCTAGGTGTACTAGTATGCATACTATCTACATCAATACCTAAACTACCATATACCTACATCATGAATGAAATCTATCTGCACTTGCGAACATTTCTAAGATTGCGAAAACAATATTACTGTGAAACCTTTCAAATTCTCATCAAAGCTATTCTTATTTTCTCGTTCTTTTAGTTTGCAACGAATCATAAACATGTTTTCTAGATCATTTGGACAAAAGTACGGCGGTCTATGTTCGTTCGCGTACTTCAATTTTGAATTTCTACTTAGTTTCTTGACATATTTCTCGTTTAGTTCAGATATTATCAGGGTAAAATTGTCTAAAAACGAATAATGTAATGTGTAAATAGCATAATATTAAAATATTAAGTAAATTAGGTAATTAAAAAAAATCAACAACGCAAGATAAGAATAACTGGAAAAAAATTCTACATTAAGCCACCAATCCTAGGGCATGATAGGCTAGAATAAAGAGCGTTATGTCCAGCAAGACGATAATAAGTGATTCTGGTGATGACGATTACTATATTCGATATAATTAAAACGATTATTTATGTCTAATAAATAACACCATATACTATGTTTAATAAAAAGAAACTAAATCTCAGCTTGTTGTACTCATTATGTCAATACAAATATATGTATCTATATATTTTACAAATTTTGCAAATTATCTGTTTATGTAATGTTGCACAATTAGTAAAACATGCATTTAGCACGTCTTCTTATCGAACGAGATATAATTATGATTTATGGACACCAATCAATTTTACCATTCCAATTGTGTAAAATATAGTAAAATGTATTTATATATAATATGCATTAGTAATAATTAATAATACATGCTAAGATTTAGTATATCTTTTTATTAAACATAGTATAAGATGTAATTTATTATACACGAATAATCTTACCATTCTAATTGTGACGGATACGATGATCTATACAGGGCGTAATTACTAAGATATGTTAAGATTTAGTATATCATTTATGCAACATAGCTATGTGATTTATTGGATGCAATATTTTTATAGAATTTAATCGTTTAAAAATAACACAAAAAGGTTATATCTAATGCACAATAGTTACGTATGTATAATATATTAAATTAACACAAAAATCTTTATTATTTATCTATTTATTTATTTATGCACAGTTGTATCGATAAAAATCATACCGGGTTTATTTAATTTTTATACTAATATATATACAAAACAGATTGTGAACACATAAACCATCTGTGACATGAAACTAGGTTTGTTATCTACGCAGGCTTCAAAAAGCTATGTTCACTAAATTGAGTACCTATCAGCAAAAATATCATCAACATGTTGTCGACAATGATTGACTATCCCACTTTAAATTTATAAATTGTCGGGAACGTTGGCAATTTTTTCACTACAGCAGAATCACTCTTTCTGTGCATGATGCGTAGATAATTATGTCGACATCTCATTCAGTTGTCGAAGGTGAAACCAATTAGCATTATCTGTTCTAATTACAATTGTTAATGAGGATGTTGTAAAACTCACTTAAAATAATAGCCCTAATAGCCGGAACATTTTTCATGTAATATATAGCTTGTAGGTATATATAGCAATAAATACTAATTGTAACCGTATTTTGGATTGCGATTGTTTAAATTTGAAAATGATGTGGTTTCCATTTTCTTATAACATTCGTTTCTAAAGCTCTTCCTATAATTACCTACACAAATATATTTGCCATTTCTCACATACTCGTACGTACTTTTAATTTTTTTAATTTTTCACCGATTTCAGTCATGGCAAAACTAATTATTTTGATTTAAAAAATATCAGCATGTAGCTGAACCGATTTTGAAAAACGTACTATCAAATTGAGAATTAACATTTTAAATTCGCTTAATAAAAAAAGAAACAGATTGTTTGAAAGTATCTGAAAATTATGAATAGAAGAAAACTGGTGATTGTTTCAATAATTCGCAGGTCGATCTATAATTTATAATATAATATACGAGTAAGTGCAAAGAGGTTTTAAAAGTCGGTTTTGATTCCCGGTATGCCCTTATTTTACTGGAGGAAGGAGGTTAATGTTTGTGAGTATTTATGTCTATATGTATGTAAAACTAGTCTTTACCTGTGACTTCATTTTTATGACAAGATTATATTTTTATTATATAAATATACATATCTATCCAAAATAGTACATGTACGAGTATAACAAATTTCATGGCATTTAATTGAACCGTAAAAGCGCCAATAGACAATAATTTTATTTTCAGTTTATTATTTATAGGGATAGCCAGATCATTAACGGAACATAGATTCAATGATTTAATGTATTTTAATAAGTAGGTGAAGTTAAATTCGCCTTAATTGTGGGAGCACTCCGGGCTATACTGCGATAGTAATAATAAAATATAGCCTACCATAAACTGTCAAAAACTGTAATGTGATAAATCCTCAGATTATAGAATAATCTTTAGATAAGCTTTTACGATTTTTGTGTGGAAATGTCTTAGTTATGGAAATTTTTTATTTCATTTCAGAGACATACAAAATTTTATTCTTCTCTATTATTAGAAACATTACATTTTTAGAAATTTTAAAGTCAATGTCTGATGTCCCGATTTGGACATATTAATAGAAAATGAGAATTCGATTCTTTTTTATAATTACAGTTTTATCATTGTGGCTAGTAACTTGAGTAGATGTAGTCTAAATAAATAAAAAAGACTGAAGTCTACATATGTAAATAGGCTCATAGACGAATTTATTTGATCATTCTGACAATAGTTGGAATTGGTTTTATTTTTATTGTAACTATAAAAATAAATCCTATCTTAAACAGTTCAATAAATATTTATTAAATCCTTATCTCAATTACTCACCTTTGGGTACCTTAGGTATGTACTTTAAAGTACGGTCTTTACACCGGAGATGCTCGCCAGTTCCATCAATCCAAATATAGGTAGCCAAAATGTTGTCAGCTGGCAGTGGTAGGTCATTATACCGGCCAAGTAGAGTCTTCGACAAAACAGCATTCGGCGAGTTCGTTAGCACTTGGCCAGATAATATTTTAGGGTTATCTGTCAAAATTAATTTTCGAAATAATAAAATCATAATTAATGATGTAATAAAATTATTAAATAAAAGACACAACACACCATATCGACGATCAATAACGGTCTCCGCCATTATACATTATAAATATTTTTTTTTTGTACAAATAAATATAAAATTCTGTTGTATATAAAACCAATCCTTTATACAACACACTTTAAACCCACATCTCTTCTTAAAATTGTATTGGTGTGAGATTTGTAAAGTATAGTTAAGTTAGTAACTACAGATACAAAAAAAAATTGTTGTAGAATGCATAATTAATTATCACGGTTATTACATTTTGTCTAGCTGTCAATTTTTTTTAATACCAGTTATTTATAATAAGATATAGTGGCCAAGTGACCAAGGTCGTATCTATTTTTTACGAGTATCTGTCAGAGGATCAAAAAGGTTTTAGCTATTTTAATTGAGTCCTTAAATTACACCTTTTTTCAAATAAACTTTACAAAGTTATTTAAAATAAATGGCATCTTTATACAAGCATATTCCAGAAATATTTAGCTGTAATCTGCTTGTAAAACCAAACTTTTATCAAATAAAGGTATATGTGTTTCCATAACACTTTAAAATTAATGCACCAGACACTTACATTAAAAATAAAAAAATAATAATATTATTAAAATTACCTTCTATTTTTCCATGTGCCGGATCCGACATTTTAATGTATTATCTTTTTTCAACCTGAAACAAAGGAAATTTTTATATATAGTAAATCTAACAAAAAAAATATAATGATCAGAACCGATAACAATACAACAAAAAAAGAGTATTACGCCTATTGATAGGTTCTCCTCATTCTTGAGGACTCATTATAGTATTACATTTATTATAAAATCCTATGACATTATCTTATGTCTAGCCTATCGTAGTAAAAAAAAAAAACTATTTCGTAAATTTTAGCACTGTAACAACTGAGTTGAATAAAATAAGACTGTGTTAAATTTAATGTCATTATATAAGTTCCTACTAAATTATGAACAATCTTTTGTTTTTTTTTTTTTTTTTTTTTTTTATACTACTTAGAATGGCAAACAAGCTGACGGCCCACCTGATGGAAAGTAGTAACCGTCGCCTATAGACATGAGCAGTACCATGGACATAATAGAGTATACTGTTTCGCCCATGATACCCCCCATGCGTTGCCATTCCTGAGGACTCAGGTGTTATTCCTCTGTACCCAGTAAATTCACGCCATATCCCATCCTTCAAACCGAAACACAGTTATGCAAACACAACTGCTTCACGGTTGAAACACGAATGGGACAGAGGTACCCAAGCAATCGACTTTTGTACAAAGTCTCCCTCTGGTAAAATATGTAATTTTCCTCTTTTGTCGATATGCAGTAATAATATTATGTACTACTCTTGTTTTCTTATTTTTTCTAATTTTTTATTTGAATTTGATTATATTTTAAAGAGAGCGCAGCAAAGATCTACTTGCTTCTTGTTACATTATGCAATCGTAAACCTTAAAGGATACCATGGATGCCACAATGTAGTCTGTAATATACAAATATGGTGCTTGTATGTCTGTAGGTTACCACTTTTCATCTTTTGACTATGCACTCAATAATTAAAAATAATTACGAATTTGATAACCATCATTAGTGACAAGTTAATAACACAAACGATCCCTTGACACAAAACGGCGACAAATTTTTTGAAATCGATTGGCGCAATGCCCGAACTGTCGACCGATAGTAGATACGTCAGCTATGCATATAAATGTAATCGTAGAATCTATGCTGAATATTAAAATGATAAGGAGGACATATTTCATAGACAAAATTATGGTCTTAATCTCTGTAAATAGTTTTCCGTATTGATTTTTTTATTGTTAGGGAGACACGACGGAGAGACGAGCAGACTACCTATCCACCTATCGTTACCCATGAACACTTGCAATACGAGGGGAATTAATTGTGCTTTGTCGGCCTTTTAAAATTTTGTAGGTATGTTTTATTAAATGTCCCAAATTATATCGTAAAGCGAAAATTAAAGAAGGGAGCTTATTCAACAAACCAGATGTATGAGGTAAAAATGAACGGGATGCACGGAAAGTGGTACTGTGTCTCGCATCCAAATATTGTTAGAGAACTTTAGCTATATGGTGAGACGTACAGTGGAGAAAGAGTGACTTTTGGTCTTGTAATAAATGTAATGTATATAAATGTAATGTATATAGATAACATTTAAAAACGATTTATGTACTAATGTACATTAGTACTTAGGTAAATTTTCTACAACGACGGTGGTTTTGTAAAACAATACATGTAACCGTGGTGTAATTGTAGATGTAATATATTCAAATTAGAATTGGAGTAGGTACATAAATTTTTCTTCGACGTCTATACAGCAGTGGCGCCGCGACGTAGCGTCATGGTCATACAAGACGAAGGAAGTGACACGAACACGCTACATACGCGTGACAGGTCCAATGTTTACATTTGGTATATCTGGATTACAACATTGTAATAATTGAGAATTCCGTGTAGATACTAATCTACTAAGTTTAGATTAAAAACTGATTTAGGCCAACTAGAGCTTGTACAGATAGAACACAGTACAGACAGCAAATGCCTTATTATATTATATTTACAGGAATTAGCACTAAGTCGTCTTATTTATACTCATTTAAAGTAATAACCGCCGTTTAAGAGTTGAATCAAGAAGGATCTTACAAAATGTTCTATAATCTGATGTTATGCCTAGGGACTATTTATTTATGAAAAACATACTTAGCACATAAAAAATATGTTATATCTGTATATCCTATAATTATTTAAGTTTATACACTGCCATATGCGAATAGTCTTTGGTGACAGAAACACAAGTGCGATAATATACATCTCATCAAAAACATAAGTGTGAAATGAGAGCCAAGTTCAACATTACGATTATGCGTCGTTTCAACTCCACCAAAAAAGAATTAAGATCTATATGAACATGAAATATTTGATAACAATTTCTTGTTTTTTTTGGTACCAGATATGGCGTAAGATGTACGCGTATTATAATTTTTTAACAGACAATTATTTACACAAAGCATTTGTTTCATTTGAGATGTAATTCAAGCTTAAAATTTGGTTTTTAGGAGTCTAAACAGTGCATATTCGTAATATTGAAATTGGCTCTCATTTCACATTTATGTTTTTAATGCAATATTATTATTTTTTGTACAGCAATTAGTATTCATCATTAATACATTACTATTTGTAAAATTACTTTATTTTTCTACGATTACGCTATAAAATTTTCTTTTTCATGCTATTTTCCATATTTTTTTGTATCTTAGAAATATTAAAGTGAATTGTTAATTCATTATCTTAAAATTTTCTTACATATTTTATATTTATATTTAATTTGACCAAGTCGGGGTTGTATAATGTGCACAGGCGATTGCATTCTACTATAGAACTTTCTTATGTAATGATTTCGTTTGGATGTAGCATTGGGACTTGCTAATATTGCATCGGGAAGAATTTAGTATACATAAAACTTAATAATTTCAACAGTCTTAATTATAACATACGATATAAGAAACAAAATTTTATATTTATATTCACCTACTTTCATACTTCGTTTTTTTGTCGATATTTATTATCAATAATTTCCAGTTTCCAGATTTTTCCCTCTGTATAAGTCTAATAATGGACCTTGATGCCAAATATCAAGTTTCTAGGTTATCATAGAAGTGGGTTAGGTTTTTGATCTATAAATCTATCAGTAAGTAAGTCATAAAAGTGTCGGTTTAAAATGTAAAATTTTAATATATGAACTCTTTGAGCAGTATTTGTGATATTATAGATTCTAGATAAGCTAAGGGCCTAATAACTGTGCCAAATTTCATATATGTAGGTTAAATAGGGTTCGAGTTGTGAGGGGTCAAAAGTAGCTTGAAATGGTTCGCGTAATATTACACTCGACTACGTCGCTAGTTCCATTTTTTCAACTTCTTTTTGTACTACTTAGAATGGCAAACAAGCTGATGGCTTACTTGACGGAAAGTGGTAACGATTACCTATAGACATAAGCAGTACCATGGATATAACAGAGTACACTGTTTCGCCCATGATACCCCCATGCGTTGCCATTCCTAAGGACTCAAGTATTATTCCTCAGTACCCTATAAATTCGCTGCCATATTCCATCTTTCAAATACAAACATGCAAACACAACTGATTTACGGTAGAAACACGAATGGGATAGACAAACAACTTTTGTACAAAGTCTCCCTCTGGTAAACTTGACTGGACACGCTTCCGCGTGTCTAGATATGTCGGCGACTTTTGTACGATCCAACGAGATTCTTTGGTCATTATTTTGTAATATGTAATTTGAATTCTATTTTTAAAATCGTACGCCACAGGGATGTAGACCATGTTTGTAGTTGTTTATAAAGCTATCACATTATTAAATCTATATATCGTAGTGATAGGTGATTGAGATAGGTCAGTAAAATAAATTACCCGACCTGATAAGTAGATAAAAATAATATTATTAAAAACAAATTTTAACCATTATTTACAACCAAAACATCGAAATAATTTTTCAATTTTATAAAAATTTTAAGCCTATTCAAAACTTAAAAATTTCTAATCGGTCCACCCGTCTAATATTCTATATATCCCACATTGTGGATAACGGGGGAGGGAATTATTAGTAACGAGGATACTGTTAGGGTTTTTTTTTCAATAATGCCATACTTCATTTTTTATGTAATTTTCATTAATTAGATGTTTATATTTTTAAACTTCCCTACTTTTATTTATTATAAACAAAAATGTTCAGTTAATAGTGTATTATAGATTTAATCCTTTTTCTTGAGTGCTACATATCGAGTGGTGGCCCCACTGAAAATCAGCGCTGCAGCATCACGCTGCAGCTTAAGCGGGGTGGACCATTTCAGCTGCTACCACATAATTATTATTTTAATGTATAAAGTTGTCATTAACATTGTTATGTTTTATAGTTATATAATTATTGTTATTAAAAAATAAAAAGGTTTACACGCTGGTTGATTATGTGTTATTGCAGATTTTTAATGAATAATTGTGTATACGTCCTTCATTATTTGTTTGTTTGGTCTAGACTAACTGGTTCTGTATGTTAGCTCTTTTTTAGTATGTTTTCTTTCTTAAGTCTCTATCTTAATAGGACTAAATTAGTTTTTTTTTTGCGGAAGAAATTGTTCGAACGATAATGATTTTGTTTTGTTTGAACGATAATTGTTTCTGCCTACCCTAATGGGAGACAGGCGTGACAGATATGTATGTATGTATGATAATGATAACTAATGTCACTATGAGAGTAATAATAGGCCAACCCCCATGCGATCCATCCATCCTCCATCATACCATTATTGTTAATTTTCGGTGACTAGACTCGATGGGCCCGCTGAAGGATAATTATCAAACCCGGTTTTCATTTTATTATAAAAGGAATAATATTTATTAACATCATTCTTCAATATAATAGGAAAAGAATTTACTTACGTATTGTAATTTATCATTGTTTATATTGCTGTTATATGGGATCTTATCTAAATAGGTTAACAGACCGGAGTCGAAGTCCAATGATGATGCTGAGGGTGGACAATACTTGAGTATAAAAATAAATAAAATGTGAAAAAAAAAATAACAAATTATATTACGTACAAACAATTCTTTTTTACCGCTTATATATCATATTTGAAAACAAGTGCACTGAACTCAAAGCTGAAGCCTAAAATAGAAGTGAATGTAGGTGCAGCATGCATTTTAAATTAAAAAGTTTTTTTTAACACAAATGAAAGATAATTACGTCACTATAGATTTTAAATTGGGCACCTATGAAGTAAATATTTTGATGATATAAAATGAATTAAACGGATTACTGACCTGAATGTACGATGGATTTTCACAAAGTAGGTCAAATAACTGTACACCTATTAGAGCCGTTGATAAAAGATAAAGATCTACGAGTATTGATATAGATAACCCGCATTTGGCAATTATTAGCTTTTATTACTAATATCATAATACATGCGAAAGTGAATTTATTTGTTTATTACTTCATGACACTTTAACGTATTAACAAATCGACAAAAATTTTGGAATATACATAGTATTGACTATTGAAGTAGAAAAGGATATGTTACTGTTTATTCTAGTTAATAAATATAGATAAATCTTTATCATGCGTACTAAGTTGGAATTATAATAATGAATTATTAAATAGTTACAACAATTTATTTACATAGATACTATAGCTTTTACCCGCTACTTCGTCTGCGTAACCAGAATATGTTCATTGACCGGGATAATAAGTAACCATGTCGCTTTTCCATTACAAACAATTACTTTAAGATATTCGTGATAGAAAAGCAATATGGTAAATTTTTTAACGATTGCTTAACTGGTTTAGTGCCAACAAGTAACAAAAGCAAACAAAGAAACATACTTTCTCGTTTATGTTATTAATAACAATTACGAATTTATAATCTACGGTAATTTAATTAACCTTTATTTATACTAAAAAAACTAAGCATCGTAACTACTGGCAAAACCCCTTAAAGGCAGAGGCCTATGTTTAGCATTAGACAATTGATGATATCATGATGATGATTCTACTATTTCAATTAAAACACCACCATGCACACTCATGTTTGATGGTGGTAGTACTATGCAACAGTTAAGTAGCTATTACATAGCAAAACCATGAGTGCGACAAAAATATTTACGCAAAACTATGGTACAGTTTGTTTCTGGTAAGAAATATTAAAGATGTGTAGGTGGAATAAATTACATTTGTATGAAATTTCAATACGTAAGTATTGTTTCGTCCACGCTTATTAACCATTAATTTATAGTGCCTATTCATGTTTATTTGTTTTGTTTTAAAATGCGATAAGTCGCTAAAGTAATAACTAGATCGTCTACTATCAGATAATGGATAATAAATACAAGAGCAGAATTGAAAAAAAAAGACAGTGAACCAAGAACGTTTTAAAAGCAATTTTATTTATCACATAACATTGCGGTATTGAAATGAGTTCTGATATCAAGAACATACTGTACAGTATAATTGTGACTAGATGTGGCAAATTTTTTTTATCAGACCTGTTAAAAATATTTATGACATAAAAAACTAAATTATGTTATTTAGGTATATTGTTGTGATATAAATTCTTATCAGGAATAATACGTAAACAAAACAGTGTTTGGTGATATAACACTGTCTGTACCTAGTGTACATAAAATACCAATTTATTGACAAAATAAAGATAACGAAAATCTTCCTATGAAACGGATAATGGGATCTGGATTAGTATGGAAATAAGCATTTTAATTTTAGCTATTAAGAGTTATGTTTTTCATATTATAGTTTATCATTAACAGCATATCAGATACAGTTTCCTAGTGAGTTCTTTGAAATTCTTTTAGTAAAATGAAGAACTGTTACGTACAGACAAAATTGACGAAAACCATTACCATTAATTCAAAATAACAATAATTTTTAATAATTCATGTTACGTGCGCCCTTAGTAAAATAGTGTCGATATCTTTGTATAGTGAGTATATATAGTATTTATCTTTGTATACTTTGTGAATCAAACTGCTTTCTCCAGAAAGCGAATTAGGTTACGGAGCCATTTTAGAATAGGTATTACCTACCTATCTATAAATAGTTCACATCGCTGATTAGGAAAGTTTGAGGCCATGGCATGCATACAATATAGATAGATGGACGGATATAGGTACTCTAAAATATGAGTAAACATACGACCGGAGCAACACCGATTGAGTCACAATAATTTATCTTTTGTTTTTATTTTTTTTTATCTGTCAGAAACACGAGTTAAAAATGTTACTCGCTATTTGGTTTCTGTGCTGACTCACCCATCAGGTATATTTATTTACGTGGAACATTTATGTGATTTAAATTATAATTTCCTTTCAACTTGAACGATAAACTAGACCTTACAGTAATCAAGATAATTAAGCAAATAATATATTAATAATGATTAAAAATGTTACCTAATGATTACCTATAATTATAGCGGTTATTAAATGAGCAGTTTTTTTCTTATGAATAATTAGAAATTAAATATAGCCTGTTTCAATGAAACTTACCAACTTATATTGAAGTTATCATAGAAACACTATGTAAATGATATTAATAACAAAACGAAACATTAAATAAATTAATCGATTTTTATTTGTAATACGTACTATAAGACAACAACTGTCTTGTGATCGGGACAGTCTATGTTCTTTTTCAAGCCAAACACTATTCATATGCCAAATTTTATGAAAATTAATTGAATCGTTAAATCGCTAAAAGAAAACGAAACGACAAATCTTACTTCGACATTCATAATGTAACCTGTAGTTTTGTCTTTATTATGTATTAGCCTTTTGTCCGCTACTTCTACGCATTAATTTCAGAAAAAGGAAACCTAGTGAATCAGGCAACTTTTAGATGTCGTGTCAAGATGAAACAGCACTAGATTTTAGGTTAGATCTTTAAAAACTGTAAAAACCGGTTTCAATTGAGTACAGTAAATTTTGCGTGATGGAGAAATAATTGACAGAAAAAAATCCTAAAAATTATTGTTTTGGTATCTATTAGTATTTGGTATCTTATTAAGATCCCTCCTGTTAATTTTTTTTAAATATCGTCATCTAATTACAATTTTATTGTATTAGTTAGATATTGTTTTTAAGAGTGGTTTATTGTGAATAACATGTGTTATTTGACCCATATTATTTAAACTAATGGATCAATCTCATAATCAAATTCACACGAAGTTTTCATGACTAACTGGGTATCTAGGTAATTAATAGATCTAGGACATACATTTTAATTACTAATGATAGGTACATTTACTCCGTAATAGAACAAAACGGTCGAAGTTAAATGTACTTATAAGAATTTGTTTGTTTACAAACAGTCACATTAACTAAAGATTAAGTATCTCAAACATTAGCTATACGTACATATATTCAAAATTATACTACACATTCTGACTGTCATATCTATACAAAAGCTGTGTGTGCCCAGACAAAGGTTTGGCGTGAAAGATACAACGTATTCTAAATTAATAATAAATGAGATCACAGTGATATAAATAAATTTAATTGTGTATATTTATGAATTTGTATGTTTACGATTTTTACGCAATAAAAAAACAAACCTTAGTCCGTAGTTTGAATTGATTCCTAGTTTTAGGATTCAGTGCATAAAAAGGTAAAAAAACACTTATGATGCGATTATGTCTGTCTGTCCGTGTCTCACTGCACTATATTTCAACAACTTCATTGCAGTAATGCTATTAATTTGAATTAGTTTTGTCATATGTATTGCAAAAAAATCTTTTTTTTCTTTGTCAAGGTTTTCAAAAGCGGCATATATTTAAAATTTTAAAATTAGCTAACTAGTTAAAATGGGGATTCATATAAAAGAGTTTAATTTTATTTATTCTTTATGGTGTATACTTTTTGATATATAATAAAAAATGCGACAAAAAATAATATTCTCACAAAGTCTAGTCGACAAAAAGTCTAAAATATTTACAGTAATAAAATAATAATTACAGTAGTAATTTAATGGTAAGTAAATATTACCCCAGTCGCGCGTATGAAGTCAAGAGAAAAATTTTGTTAAATATAATTAATTTCCCGTTTTTATATGTAGATATACCGGACGGTTTTATATGTAGATATGCTACTACCAGTTTTCACTTGGATAAACGGGTCCAGCAATGTTGTTCCGGACTGGACTTCCTTGTATAGCGTGCAGTTTTTAACTATTTAACTGTAGGCACATATATTCTGTCAGCAAAATTGCAATATGAATGAAGTGTAAAAAATGAACATAATTTGTCTCTATTTTTAATTTACATAGCTGGTGCCCAACTGTGGAACGCTAATAGTTTGTTAATTTGATATTTATCATTGTCCTTATATTCATATATATTTTAATACAATCCGGTATGGTATATTTTTGATAGTAAAATGACTGGTGGTGAGTTAAATCTATTCATATATATGAGGAAAAATAAAAACAATACAGTGTTTGGTTCTTATTGTAGGTAGGTATACAAAAGTTCGCAAAGCAATGTTATGGTAGCTAAACGTATCAGGTCAGGTGATTTATAGCATATTTTGGCCGGAGCTGATGCAATTCGCATTGCAGCGAGTTGGTGGTAGTGGCAGTAGACAGGCGAGAGGCGCGTACCATTCGGTCTACACGTGCTAAGGTCATCGGGGAGTTTCCACACCCGGCACAATAAACTATCCGGACAAAACATAGCGCCTACTTAACGCACTTCCAGACCTAAATATGAATACTTTTATTTTACTGAAGTTTTTATAATATGCATATATCTTTAATTACAGTACCTTAAAGAAATTCCCTCGGCGATCGAGCTGAGTATCGCGCGCAAACGAAATTTACGTGCTGTATAACACAGTGAATGTCGAGCCGATTCGATAGCTTCGTTCAGCGCTCTAGAGATTGACTGGTAGTCGGGCGTAACGCTGACGAATATATGCGCGCGCATCTCCCCGCGCATGCGTGGTGGTGGGAGTACTGCGTTACGTAGATCGGTGGTACTCTATCAAGCTGCTAGTTTCATTCACAGGCACTTACTACGTTTGCGACCGGGAGCGGTACCTTCCGCCAGGTCCCACCCATCATTACTCCTGCGGAAGATACTAGAACGATCCTGCATAAATTGCAGTGGGGACCTACAATATATTTCACTCAATTGGACAGGTCATCTCGTTTAGTTGACCGAAATCCACTTTGTAACCTAAGCGTGATATACTGAACTATAAAAAGGGCTTGATAATGAGCGTAAAATAATTCTTTTAGACCAATTTGGGTGTCACATAGAGATTATCCTAGGGATGAACTCGTCCTTGATGATTTGTGAACTTGATCCAGTTTTAAGTTGCGAATGAATAATTTTATCTCTGAATACTGACAGAATCGGCGTACAACCTGTAGAAGTGGGGGAGGGTAATAATGGGGATTAATAGTCCCATTGCTAGCAATATACTCTGTCAGGTCATCTTCCTCGCTACTCCCCCTGGAGACCATCATATTCTATTTTAAGTGAATTTATCACGATAGCCTAACTTGCCTTTTCATTCTCAGTTATCATTCTTCACTAGTGCTATGCCAGGGTATACCGTTGTTACTGCATGCGAGATTATTATTCCATTATCATCCATTTAAAAAACCTGTGGAAGCATCTTATGGAAAATGCATGCTATATTTTACTGGTTGGTTTACATTATGAAAAAGGGCCAGATCATTGTTTATCTGTGTAATGTTGCCCCTCAATGAGAGAATGAACTTAAATATGTCGGTCATATGTCGACTTTCGACCTCTAGAATGATGATGTTCTTTAAATATAGGGTTTGGATAAGAAAGAAAATGTGTGATGCGTGACATGAAGTCGAAAATTATTCGTCATTTTGCAAAAGCCTTAAAAAAGCGTTCTATATTTTGACAAAATGGGCAGTTATTACAGCGACGATAGGTATGTTCCTTATATTATCTGCTTAATGTAGTCTACGAAAACTACCACAACGAGAACAACAAAATGGACTGCAGTTTACTGAAGTCGTATGTGCCGATATATTTCTCCAACACTTGTTTCTATTAATTTATTTAGTAGTAGTTTTTTTCTATTTATTTATTAATTTTAGCCATACTGCAGTTTTCAAATTATATTAAAAGTGTTTCAGTATTGTAATTGTGTTACTACGACATCCGCAAGGTTCATCTTTACAGGATATGGTGGTATCCATAATTATACCTCAGGTGGATCACCAGTTTGTGAATCATTTCAAGTTGCGTAGTAAAGTCGTTGTTTGTTTTTTAATTAATGCAAATAAGGTATATTTTGCATATTAATAATGAATACAACTTTAGAAATGAAAAAATCGAATCCTTATGTAGTATCCATATCAAAGTTCGAAATTACGAGTTGAGCAAAAAAACAAACAAAATAATTTATAAACAGTTGAGTACAACAATAAGCCTATAAATCTTACGGTGATTTTTTTATAAAGCATTAGTTTATAAAAAATATCTGTAGGTTATACATGTTGCATAAAAATTATGAAGGAACAATAAATATTTTTTAAGAATATTTAAAGAATTATCCATAATAAAAAAAAAAAATCAAAGCCTGTCTTTTATTCTGAAGTGTACTTGAGCTATAAATTTAAATAAAAAACTTGTCAGTAACTGCTAATTTCCTACTGGTTAAATTTATCTAGTATTTTAATGTCTAAATAATTATTTAAACTTATTTAACTGTTTAATTACACATACGTTTACATAATTTATACAAAAGGGTAGATTTGAATGTAAGAGAATAAACATAATGATTTATGAAGGAAATATCTCAAAATTAACTAGTTAACTACTTACAGTTAGTGAATTACTCATATACTCGTAGCAATAATATTATACATAATGGGGATTAATAATTTTCATTTTAGTTTTGACAATAGTTGCCGCGCTTGGCAGGCGGGTTGGCAACGGCAGTCCGGCTTTTAGAAATGTTTCAAGAGGTACGCTGCTGTCCATCTCCCTACCTTTAAGTTCCTTTAGTCACCTCATACAAAACTCACAAAAAAGGAATTATTTATTCTATGCCGGGACCACACAGCGTTTAGTTAATATATTGATAATGAATTATCTCATGTGATTACATTAGTCAAATTTCATATGCATTCGTTTAAATATTTAAGTTTTAGTAGTAAATATCCAAATAGGGATTATTCGGTCAAAATCGAAACAATATACTGAATTTATATATTTGTGATAAAAATAATTTTGTCTAATTTGTATGTAAGTGCATCACTTCAGAATGGCTGCACCTATTCGTGTTTGCTTATTCTTTTGTTGTATGTCATCATTATCAACAGTTTGTATGATAAAAAATGTTTGAGAAAGCGTAGAAAAAGCGATAAATTTAGTACACTCGTGCGAAGCTAGGGCGGCCAGTTTGTAATTAAGTGATTAATAAATAATTAATAAATACAATAGTGCGTATGCAAATTGATTTCAAAAAGTTAGTGTAGTAATGAAAACGTACTTAATGTAAAATGATACTTTTTATTATTTCCTCCAAAAGATAATAGATCTACATAGATAGTTTAGGTCTACTTCTGGAGGAGAAATGAAAAGTAAGTAGAGAAGTATTTGAAATCAGCCTCTACAAAAAACTAAGATTTGTTGAAATCTCTAAATGAAATTAGTAGATAACAAATCCAAACATTCATTTAATTAATCGATCTTTTATTTGTACTACTATTTGACAGCATCAATCCGAAGTTTAATCAAATATTAGTTTGCTTACATTTTTATCAAGTTCTATTGAAACAAATCATAATGTTATAAGGCTTTAGTAGTCGCTCCTATATGCACAATAAAGGATTAGGTGTGAAAATACATACGTAGATTTCTCTGTAATATCATGATTTGTGTAATCCTTCATACTTACGGGTTACAACAGTAACATTAACGTTATAGTAAACCTGACTGTATTGTAAAGATCTCTTTTATAAATTAAAAATAAATTAATAAACTTTAATGATAAATATCATCTTTATCAGTTCAGTCGATACCCCTCCCTTATAGACAGCTATAAGGAACGACCCTGAACTACTTTCAACCACTATCTCATTTGAAGTCATTGTTCCATATAGTGAGAGCCGTATTCCACAATATTTGTTTGTGCAGTATGTATAGTTAAAAAAGTTATAGCCTTTGCTTACGCCTTGCATTACAGAACCATGTTTAAATTCCGTAACATTACAAGGAACATGTACTTATCAAAGAAGTCTACAAATTTTGGTTTAATTTATATTCAAAAATGCATCTTAGTTCCCCTACCTAGCTGAGTAGAATTCGTCAGCTAATCTATTAGTCGTTTATTTTAAATTATTATGGTAATGTATTTTAATATTGTTATTCAATATTACAGATTTCCAGCTAAAAATGTAAATATCTACTCCGAGTTTTATTATCAAAAATCGTAGGTGAATATATAAATAAATGTAAGTAACTTAAAATATATTTACACATAATTTTACCGAATATATTCTAAAGTCAATAAGACTTATTAACACAATGTTGAAAATAGGTATCTAATAGTGTCGTTTCACGCGATACTAACGTGTCTCTACAATACCGGATCTAATATGTTTTATAGATCAGGAAAGTTATCGTATAGACTGAAATAATATTAGAAGCGTCCAAAATTTGTTTGCTTTGGTGATACAAGCCGTAAATTTAATGTTGTAATAATTACATTTAAATTACGAGACTATTAAATCTTACAAGACTAATAAAAAAACTGCTAGGGAAATATTTCCGAAAAATCTGGAATCCTTGCTAGATTTATTGTTAAAAACGTGCTTGAATTACAAATAGATTAGAATAATATGAAATAGGTAAATACCTATATAATCTAGGTATGCCTGTAAATTAAATCCATAGTCATAATCATAATAGTAAAAAATATTGTCGCTGTCTGCGTTTGTTTGTTTTTCCGCTTACTTTGTCTAAACCATAACGGTCTTTGATACGGTTTAACAGTCTTTTATATATTTTTTCAGGGAGCATTTGTATATAAAATTATCAAATTTTTTTTTTTTTATATAATTTCATATATTCCATGTCCTCTAATAAATTGCACCTGTACACCAAACTGAAGCAGATCAGTTATACCTACGAAATAAAGCAGTCCTTTTTATTTATTATTAGTATTAATGATCTGTCTCATGAGTGTATTAACCTTACCTCATGTTCAAATATGTTATAAGTTCACCTTTGTGCTTGCATGATACTCGAAATCAGATTTTTCATTTAACCCTTTATTCTGTTCTAAAAATAATAAATTTCCATCGATATACTTGAGAAGTATGAGTTGAACTCATTTATAGATGACTTTCATTATACAGATAGACCATCTCCATACAACTGCTTCATCAAGAACAGGTCATCTTTTTACCAATGCGCACGTGAATAGGATTATTACATTGTACAGTTTATGTTTAGTGTGTAGAAACCTATTGTGTAAGGTAAAATTGAAAAAATAAAAACAACGCAATATTCTTACGCATCTATTTGAAAGAACAGGATAAACAGAGCCTAATGCTTCATAATAATGTTTATCTTTTTTTGGTACTTTGAATTATTTTTGCACATAATCTTAAAATATGTTTTTATTTGTAAATTATTAAAGATTACTCATCATTTTAATACACGTGTTTTAATTTGTAAACAATACTTATATATGTACATTTATATTCAATTTAAATATATATGTATGTATATGACTAAATTTTGACCTACGACACTCGACGTTCTATCGACGAGTATATAATCTACGACCGATAGATCCTTACTTATAATAATCTACAAATAAGTTTTTGTTTGTGTTAGTTTTTACATGACGATTTATTAAATATAATTAATTCATTAACATAGAATTTTTTTGTTTCTTATACAAAATAGAAAATAATTAT